TCATCATAATTTTCCCCCTGAATTTCAGACACGGGGGAAAAATATATCAAGGTTTCATGAAAAACTACATCTATAGTAGTAAACATTTGCTTGGTTTGTGGATTGTAGCACCGATATCCTTTCTAGTGATCCGCATAGCCAAGGAACACACACCTTTCAGCTCTAGCAGAAAACTTACTTCTCTGATGCTTGTGTAAGTGAACATAAGCAACACAACCAAAAACTCTATGTGTTAGTTCAACAATTTTAGGACTTACTACTGCATTTGTAAGTGATTGAAGAGGTGTTTTATACTCAAGAGACCTGGACGGTGTTCGATTGATAGTTTATACTGCATATGTGAGAGTTTCTCCCCAATATATTGCTGACATGTGAGCTCCAATTAGTGCAGTTCGGACCACCTTCAATAGATGACGGTTCTTTCGTTCTGCCACCCCATTCTGTTGTAGAGTACTTGGACAAGATCTTTGATGAACAATTCTTTTGGCTACTAAAAAATGTTGAAGTTCTGATTGCATATATTCTCCTCCATTTTCACTACGCAGTACCTGAATTTGTGCTTTGTACTGGGTCTCAATCATTTGCAGAATTTCTGAAATAGTCCTCCAACTTTACTTTTAGACTTCATCAAACATAACCAAGTCATTCGAGTACAATCATCAATAAACGTTACAAACCACGTTGAGTCACCCAACGTTGTAACCTTAGATGGACCCCATACATCAGAGTGAATGATCATAAAAGGAAGAGAATTTTTATTTAAAATTAAAGGAAAATGTGTTCTATGACTCTTTTTGCAAGCTCACAAACATCACAATAAAAAGTTGAAGTGTCTACTTGATCAAATACATTTAAAATAATTTCTTTATGTAACCAAAAGATGCATGTCCTAGACGCTTATGTCATAACCAAATATCTTCGCCTTTTCTTACTTCTTGAGACCCTTTTGTTGCTAGCACTTGACCAAGTCTCTTTGAATCTTTTTCTGTCAGGTCCAGGTAATACAACCTTCATCGCCTAATACCACAACCAATCGTCTTCTTCGTTTGAATATCCTTAAAAACACAAAAGTCAGGCCCAAAAATTACAACACATAAAAGAGTTTTGGTTATTTGCGAGACTGACAATAGGTTATATTTAAGAGAAGGAACAACAATGACAATATCAAGATTCAAATTGTTTGAAATAGAGACAGTTTCTTCTCCAATAATAGTAGATTTACTACCATTGACTGTGGATATACTTTTTTGTGAGGAAGGTTTAAGATTTTTAATTTGTCTAACATCAAAAGTCACATGATCAGAACATGCAAAGTCAATTATCCATGCATTATTCAGAATGGTAGATGTGTTTATTAAAGTCTTACCATTAGAATCATCACTACCTGCGATTGTAGCAAGCATCATGCCTTTGTCGTCCTCTTTGTCAATGACAATTACAACAGCAGCAGTTGGATTTCTTTTTGAATTCTTCTTCGATGCTCGACTGTGATCCCACCACTCGGGGTATCCTATATCAGAAATCATATCTTTTGTTTTCAATGTTGTTCACCGGACTGTCTCTCTCTGGATCAATGCATAGCATTCTTCTAAATCATGTGTCACTTCTTTGCGCAAGATTTCTCCACGAACTTGTTCAAAATCATCATCTAGTCCAACAAGGAATATATGCACCCTTAATCTTTCACTGGACTTCTTATATGACTTCACATCATCAGGGTCCTTTATGACTACTTTGTCACGATAGTCCAATTCCCTAAAAATCTCAACCAACTCCCCATAATATTCAGTTAAGGTTCTATTATTTTGTTTTGCAGTGAATTCCCTTTGATTCAGGGCAAACACCTGTAGCTCATCACTTCTATCATAAAATGCCTTTGATAAAGCATTCCAAATATCGAGGACAGTGGGTAAGCGAATATATCTTTTCATAATTTCTGGCTTCATGGACATCAATAACCATCTTTTCACTTTTTGGTTTTCAGCATACCATTTTTCATATCCCTCATCGTTCTCAGTTGTAGGCTTCACCTTCCCACAGATATAGGACAATTTTTCCCTCTCTGCAATGTGCATCTCCATTAATTGTGACCATACATCATAAATGGATTCATTTGGATGATGCCTGCGTTGAAGACACCTTCAGATTGAACAACCATTGGAATTAGTTTTTCTGTCATTTCTCCAGTTAAGATCTCCAAGGATTTTGAAAGAAAAAGAAAAAATTTATAAGCTCTGCTACCAAATTGAAAAACATAGAATTCATTCTATATTTTTATTCATATTATTTTTGTACACATATACTATGATCTTATAGTATTTTACTCTAACAAATCAAGACTAAATATAGGAAGTTCTGATTATAAAATATTTTGTATCGCTATACAAACCTATAATTTAGCTAATCAAATATCTTTATCCCAACAGGTAAAACATATTTTATTTTTTTTAGTTAAAATCACGTTAAGTAAAAATATGAAAAATGAAAAACTAATTGTAAATGAGAAATAATCATAATGTAATTATATTATTAAGGTTTTTTATATAAAATGATGTTATATTTACTTATGTCATTGACTCGTGTTCTATTTTTTTAAATCTTTGTGTTAATTTCCACAAATATTTAATATTTATATTAAAGTTGATGGTTTGTTTGATTATCGATTCCATTAAATATATTTGGAATGGGTAAAAAATATTAAATTTGTGGATATTTTGTTGAAATTTCTTTTAAAAAGATTGTACGAATCCTTGAATCGAAAGTCTTTATAATAAGAGTTTTCAGTAAGTAAATTTTATTATATGAACAATAATATAAATAAGGTCACTCCTTATAATTAAGAAATATATTTTGTTTAACCAAAAATAAATTACACTAAAAGAAAAGATGATTGAAAATCTAAATATGAGTTGAAATATCGTAAGAATAAAAATAGAAATAAGAAAATTAAGTAACTTATAAGAAAAATTTATATTTAATGTTTTAAAATTTTAGATTAAAAATGATATAATTTCTTATATTATTAGTTAATGTCTTGCAAAATTTTGTATGTTAATCCCATTAAGAAATACCGAACATTGCGAAGGGAAAAAAAGTGAAAGGTGGATAAAATTACCAATAGCATAAGAAAAAATATTATTTATGTTAACTCATTTCGGAGATGCAAAAGTAAAACACGCACAAAGTATTTGCAATTTACATATTACTTTATCAAGTATCTCATGGCATTATTGAAGATGTCATGATGTAGATGTACAAGTCTATTATTTTAGTGAAGTCCTTTTAATGAACATGAAAGATTATTATGATGATTCTCAAATCTTGGATAAATTATTTACTAAGTCTTGATGACGTTGGTACTCATAAACTCAAATTTAAATTTAGAATCCAATATGAAGAAATCGCCGTTAAACTCTAATGTCGTGACTAACCCAATTGATAAAAAAAGATGTTATATATAGGATAAATGCTTTTAATAATGCAATCAAGATCCATAATGATTATCCATTTAAAACATTATTCTCGTCAAACAAAATAACTTTAAATAAACAATCCAAATTTATTAACGTGGTGAGCTATGATACTAATATATTAAGTTTCTTCATTATGATAGCATGGAATGAAGATCAATTCTCACCACTTACTAGGTTATCTTAAAAACCACTTTCTCCAATAATATCACCAAGATTCTTTATCTAATGCATGATTAAATATCATTTATATTTAAATATTTAATTACATATCACCGAACTATATCAATAGAATCATATAATTGTAGTGTAAAACTACCTAATACGTTCTTCTTATTTATTAAAACCTACATTTAAAGACTTTGCCATATCATCTTCCAAGATACTTTCAAGAGAGAAAATAATAGTATTTTGACTCTATAAATGTATCCCATTTGAGTTTATCTGATTAATGAATCATTTGTTTTAAAAAATTATAATTTCATTCATTCCAATTTGCATATAAATTAGTAAAATTAAAAAAAGTATGAAAAATTGTTTGGTTTTTATAATTTTTTTTAATAGGAAAAATAAAGTAAAAACAAAATTCCATTTATAAATCAAAATGAAAACAAAACTTGGTATAACCAAAGTTAAAATCAGTAATAAACTTGTATTTACATTAAAAGACTAAAAATAGAATAAAAAATCGTATTAATTATTTTGAAAATAATCAGGAGCAATAGCTTCATATGTATGACAGTTTGTTCCTTTGTTTCAATTTAATAGGCGAGAACGCCATTACGACTAATTCAGACACAATTTTTTTTTTTTGAAATAATTTAAAAATACAGTATTAAGTATTTTATTTTCTTTTGGTAAGAATAAGAAAAATTATTTAATATCTCGTAGAAGAACGTGTTAAGGAATGCTAAGAGTTACGTTTTGGGCTTTGATTTAGTCTTAATTTATCTAAAGCAGTCTTGGGCTGAACGAATCACACTGCTCTTTCTTACATTTGTAATGAACTGTCACGGTTGAATACATTCGTTCATCCAAACATTTTCGTAATAATAGTCGTTTCTTGTCTAAGATCCAAAATCCAAGCCACCAAATACTCATTCCTTCACTCTCTTTCGCCTCATTTCTGCTCTTATAATGGCATCGTCTTCACATCCCTGCACAATCTACACTCCTTGCACTCTACAAGCAAGAACAACGAATTACCAGTTTATAAACTACTTGCTCTGTTCATCATAAAACCTTTTTCTTTTGCTCAAAAGTGTGTCCGTTCGAAAATGAATAATGCAATAAAGACCTTACAAAAGTTGCTACTGTTACTACTACTACCCCTCTTCTGTCACTACCCTTTGCCTGTTCAAGGATCAAATCAACATGAAAGAAAGGTGTGCCCAATTGAAGAGTGTCAGTTACCCTATTGGGACTATTTTTCAGAATGATTATATATCATATATGCTTCTTTATTACACCTTTCTTACTTGAATGAATTTTGTGGGAAAAAATAAAATAAAACAGCCATATATTGTATACATGGGAGAAGTACCAGTGGATAGAACCTATTCTGTGGAAAGCCACCACCACAACTTGCTAGAGACTGCGATTGGAAAGTAATGATCTCTATTTTCTATAGTGATGCATTTGATTATACCTTTTTATGATCAATGGCTCTTTTTTATTGTTTTACTTCAGCAAGCAGTTAGCGAGAGAGTCCAGAATATATAGTTATGGAAAGAGCTTCAACGGATTTGTTGCACGACTTTTGCCAAATGAAGCAGAGAGACTCAAAGGTACTTTCTTACTCCTAAATTAATTTATGTACAAATGTTCTTTAAGAATCATGCATTGATATTTGATTTTGTGCAGAGGAGGAGGGTGTGGTTTCTGTGTTTCCAAACAAAATCAGCAAACCACACACGACAAGGTCGTGGGATTTTCTAGGAATGCCCCTAGAAGTGAAGAGATTTCCCAACATAGAAAGTAATATTATTGTGGGCGTGTTGGATACAGGTATGAAGAAAACATTTGTGTAATAGTAATTGTGAAAACAGATGATTAATTGATGTTTTCTTTTAACAGGCATTTGGATTGATTGTCCCAGTTTCAATGATACGGGGTATGGACCTCCCCCACGTAGATGGAAAGGCAAATGCGTAACAGGAGTAAACTTTACTGGTTGCAACAAGTACTGCTCCATGCATCACTTATATTTCTCCAATTCAGATAAACACAACATTACACGAACACATATTTTAATACCCTCTTTGTTGTTGGGTAAAAATCTCAAAATCTTACACGGCCCTTTTTTATTTAATAAAAATTAGTCATGATTTTATATTTTTCACTAAATTTCAATTCAACTTATAAAAAAAGTGTATTAGAAAGAAGGAATATTGTATGGTTGAAAACTACATAATATTGGTTAATCATCATGCAATATTTTTATATAAAATTAGTGACATTGTAAAGGTGAGTGTTCACCACAAAAAAACAATCCCTCCCCTTAAAACTATTTCATTAATTTTTTTTATAAGTTATCAAGCAAGTGCTGATAATAACCACGAAAAATATATAAACAAGTAACACCTTTGACAATACTTGGACAAAATTATAAACAGTTAAGTCACTTGTTGTGGCAAAATTCATATAAATTTTCATGCGAGGTTTATTAGATTTCACATGGAATGAATGAATGGCAGCAAAGTGATCGGAGCCAACTACTTCAATCTGGGGGAGAGCAACACAAGCTTCGACAGCATGAGTCCGGCGGACGACGCGGGTCACGGCACTCACACGTCGTCGACGGCGGCGGGCGTAGTGGTGAAGGGGGCGAGTGTGTCCGGCATTGGCAAAGGCACGGCGAGGGGTGGCGTCCCATCAGCCCGCGTGGCCATGTACAAGGTATGCTGGGCCGTCGGCTGCAGCGACATGGACATGCTAGCCGGCTTCGATCAGGCCATCGCCGACGGTGTCAACTTCCTCTCCGTGTCCATCGGTGGCCCCGCACGTGATTTCTTCACCGACCCAATTGCCATCGGAGCATTCCATGCTATGGCCAGAGGGGTTCTCACTTCTTGCTCCGCTGGCAACGGTGGCCCCCGCCCCATGTCCGTGGAGAACGTCGCCCCCTGGATTTTGACTGTGGCTGCTACCACCATTGATAGACAGTTCATTACAGTTGCTGCGTTCGGTGATGGATCGAACGCAACAGTAAGTACAGCATAGTAGTTTCATGTGTTTGTGGTTGAAACTTGATACATCTTCTAACAATGTTCCCATAATTCAACTTAAATGCATCTATAGCGTTGTCATCTAAATACATTTTAACATGAATTTATGACAACAATGTGGAGGTTGGTATATTTACTTAAAAGTTGTTTGTATGATTTCTTACCAAATAAAATTGCTAAACTACATTTTTATTTAAAATAAGTTAAACATTTTCTTACTTGCAATATTGTTATAATTTGTGTATGTGCAAACTTTTTTTATTCACAAGAGCAAATTTTGTACATGGTCATATAATTGATAGTTTGTTATCTTTTATAGTTGGAAATTTAAAAGTTATACCTAGTATAAAATATTTGACAGGTTAAGTTCTTGACTGGAGATGAAAAACAATTTGATGATAAAAAATATATGGCTTATTTTGATTGGTATATGGTAGGGAATGTCTATTAATACCTTTAACCCCAAAAAGAAGATGTATCCATTGACTAGTGGACGCCTTGCGGCGAGCTTTCCCGGAGATGAAGATATCTTTGGCAGTGCCCGGTATTCTTCTTCATACTTGATCCTGATTTCGTAAAAAAGATTAAGTTCGGTTTGAGAATACTAATACTGATGATTATAATTATGGCTCAGTGGTTGTGATTATGGGACTCTAAGCGAGAAAAAGGTGAAGGGCAGGATAGTGTACTGCGTTGGGGGGTCAGGCGCTCAGGACTTAACCATCAAAGAACTAGGGGGAAAAGGAACTGTCGTAGTCCATGAAGAGGAAATAGACTCCTCCTATATCACGGTTATTCCAGCGACCTTTATTCAAGCCAGTACTGTGAAAGACACCATTGAGCTCTACATCAATTCTACAAAGTACTTTTTTTCTTTCAACATGCTCAAATGGGTATTGACATAACTCTTTTGAAGTTAACTAACCTAAAGAAACACCTTGGTTGAATTGGAATTCAGGAATGCTAAAGCTGTTATTTACAAGACAACAACAAAAGAAATCGCTGCTCCATTTCTTGTTTCTTTTTCATCTAGAGGTCCTCAAACAGTCACCCCAAATATCCTCAAGGTAATATCCCTCTCTATTTCTTCGTTTTGTTCCATTTCGCTTGGCTTCTAAATTTCTACTTATTTTATGTGAAGCCTGACTTGACTGCCCCGGGAGTGGACATACTAGCTGGTTATTCCAAACGGGCATCACTAACAGGGTACCATATAGACAATCGTTACGATGTATTTAACATATTATCAGGAACATCAATGTCATGCCCACATGCCACCGCAACAGCTGCCTATGTCAAATCCTTCCACCCTGACTGGAGTCCTGCTGCAATTAAATCTGCTCTCATGACCACTGGTGAGAAAATTAGAATATTGAATGCGCTAAAATTGTTAGTTGACAAGAAAAGCAACACTTTCAAATTGAACATTTTTGTCTCTACTATTCAGCCACTCCCATCAAAATCAGTGACAACTTCACACTACTGGGATCTGGGTCAGGACAGATAGATCCTGTAAAGGCAGTACATCCTGGTCTGGTTTACGACATTGGAGTGCACTCCTATATCTCCTTCCTTTGCAAGCAAGGCTTCAACAACACCAACATTGGCAAACTAATTGGCATAAAAAATTTCAATTGTGCAAGAATTAAGACAGAGCCAGGAGCTGATGGAATCAACTATCCCAGCATGCATATCCAACTCTTAAATGCCAGAGATAGAATTTCTGCAGTTTTCTATCGGACTGTGACTAATGTAGGATTTGGAAATTCAACTTACAAGGCTATAGTTACTGCCCCTAAAGGTCTTTCTGTGAAGGTCATCCCAGATACATTGTATTTTAGTATATTGCACCAAAAACTGTCATTTAAGGTTGTGGTGAAGGGGCCTCCAATGTCCGAGGATGCATTTGTAGAATTTGCATCACTTGAATGGAATGACTCTAAACACACTGTCAGAAGTCCGATACTTGTCTATAAGCCAATGCCAATGTATTGAACCGTAATGGACAATTGCATACAAAATTTGAGTACACGAGTCTTTCGGATTTAAAGAAAAAAAATTGAGAAATTATTTAGCAACACAAAAAATAGTTGAAGATTTCTCTTTTTTTCCCCACATTGTATATATCTTAGTTATTTGTTTTAGATGAATGAAAAAACAAATATGAGTGCACGAACTGACCATTTTATTCATCACCTGCATCTAGTACTCGCACTTTTTGCTGTAATAAAGTTGTAGGATTAAACATTATCTCAACTCTATCATCAACTGTCTATCTTTCCTGGTTGAGAATAGGGAAGGAAAAAAGATTACCCATTTTAAAACATAAAACATAAAATGTAAAAATAATATATATATATATATATATATATATATATATATATATATATATGTATATGTTATAAGAGACTGTCAGAAGTTCTATTCTGGCAATAATGTGCCAAAGTATAGAAGCTATTGCATTCATAGTCAGTCATTCACCACATCATAGAGACCAGCCAAAATGTAATTGGATGCACACGAACAAGGAAAAGGAGACCAGTGTGCAGCCATTAAAACATTAGTTAACGGCATTTTGAGCTCAGCATGATTAAATATCTCTACTTCCGCTGAAAGATTATGTCAGTTCTGAAGTAAGGATATAAAACTACAAGGTCTAAATTTCTCTGTCCGTCTTTTCAAGAGATAACACAATTTCTGATATTTACAGTCAGAAATTGAAAGTTAATGAATTCAGTACCAATGCAAAATTTAAATTTGGTCAGTTTCCGCTTAGGAAACCAACTTCCCTGTCTCTTTTTCTAATCGGAGGGAGGAAAAACTCCTAATAAGTAAATTAAAAATAAACAGGCAAGATTGTTGGAAAAAATTCTTCAACTAAGTTGGCGCTATACATGATTTGTTGTTCAGTTCTTTTCCTCCAAAGGTCCTCAATGGATATAGTTAACCTGTGTGGAGGAACTTGTTCCCTTTGAACTTTAAATATTGCACAGTCAACACTGCATCCGGGACTGGCGGTTATGGATGCTTTTCTGCTTTGTTAACTCCTTTCGCCTCTTTCTTGCTTCTGCAGCAGCAATTGCATCCGCTAAACTTTTTCCCTGACAAATGAATTGTTCTTGTTTCTTTTCCAGTGAAGTTGTTGCAATATAAGCTGTTGAAGATACTTTATTGTTTGGAGCAGAATGTAATCTAAGTTCGTTTTCTTGTTTGAAAGCAGAAGCATGACCATTACAGCAACGTGTGGGTCCATGATACTTTTCTAAAATGTGACATCCTGTTTTCTTCTCACCTCCATCCAAAGAAAACCTTGGAGGATCATTAATGAGTCTGGCCTCTGTCCAGGCTTGATAATCCACATTTGCCAGTGTATTCAAAGATGAGCTAGAACTACATGGTTTATTATCTTGTTTATCTTTCAGGCTACTGGAAGGTGATGATTGTCCATTTCCAAACTGTGGAAAAGGGAATATCCAAGGACATGGAAACATGAAAAATGGATTTTGTGTTTGTTTATCATTTATAAGGTTATTTTGCTTTTGGTATGGTTCAGACTCAGAAGAACATGGAACACTAGCAATAGATGGAATGATGATGGAATTAAACGATGTATTTGGTAAATGAACTGGATAAGACGGAAGGGGTGAAGGCCAAAGTATCTGTGGAACTGGAAAATGGTTATAAAGGAACCATGGACCGGTACCAGACGAAGGTGTTACCTCAGCCACAGATGACCCAGGCTCAACAGGAGTTTTCTCCACTTCAGTGTTCATTGACTTGGTTATCTGCAAATGGAAGATGACATTGATTTTTCAGTATAGATATACTTCCTTGTAAACAAGAATTATACTAAGTTTAAAGATTTCTACCACATTAAAACATCTTACTTGTGCCTTTAAGTACTTATTTGTAGTCTCCAAAGACTCATACTCTTTCAAAGCCAAATCTTTCTCCTTAATGTCAGAAGATATGGAAGAAATATGAATTATCAGATAAAACATCAAATAGGATGAATAAATTATGATAAATATCTTAAATAGATGTTTCATACAAATAAGCACAACAAAATAAAGAGGAAGAGGAGATGGAAAGGAAAGACATTAACAGTGGCTCAATAAAAAGATATAAAATAAGGGATAGTACCCTACCTTTTTTAAACTTTCATTCTCCTCCACCAAAGTGGCAGCTTTTTTTGTTAACTCGTCACACAGAGCCTGAAATTTTTTTATATATACATAATAAAGAGGAAATCTATAGATATTTTTAGGACAAATCGATCAACCAGAATAAATACACAGCTCAAAAAGAATCACTTTTCTTAAATGATAGTTCATCTAAATATCAGATTTATTTTAAATTTGCTCTTTCACATAAATAATATTGGATTCAAGTCTGCAATATCCTTTACATATACCTTCATAATTGAACTATAGATAGAGTCTTTTGGTCTAGTAAAAATATGATGTTATGCAGAATAATATGCTTCAAAGATCTTGTTAATAAAAAATATAGATTTGATATCTTCTTGACATAATATGTAGTTACTTTGATCAGATCAGAAAAGTTTAGAGTGCCATACCATTTATAGCTAGATGAGCCATAATTACAGCAAAAATTAAGCTTTTTTTTCTCAATTAAGAAATAACCAAACAATGCATTTATTCCAAAAATCAATACAGCGATACAGACAAGGGTAAAAAATGACAGGATCGAGGCTTTAGACCATAATTATCAATCTCACATAGCAACATATACCAGCCAACTTCGAAAATGCTGTAGCGGAATGAAAGCCACACGCTATTTTAAATATTATAACACAAACTAAATAATTTATATTACATACGTAAATACTAAAAAGCACAACCAAAAACCCAAGATTAAAGAAATTTGTGATGTATGAAAAGTCACAACTTACATGCACAATCACAGTTAATCTGAGGAGCAACGAAACATAGTAATGAAGTCAAAAAATATGAAAGATGATGGTGAAATTAATAGAGAAAGATCATAAAAAACTAGATAAAAAATTAGTTGATGCTAACCTGAGAGTCCAAAGGAAAAGCAAGAACAGAATACCGGATAGAATAAAAAGGTCCTATGAAGTGTGACGGAATATAAGTCAAAATAAAAGGTAACCTTCTGTAAATTATTTTATCAGAAAAAAAAAAAAAAAAAACTCTAAGGGTAGAACATGGGTCTTGAAGCCTATATCATGATAGTGCCACCATAACACATGAAAGCAGCTATGTGACTGTTATGGCAACTATTAAAAACCACTCCCCTCTTTCAATCTCATTTTGGCCTAGGGTGACTCCACTCCACCATCAAGTTATGGTGGCAGACTACTTGTCAACTTTTGTATTTTGGAAATGGGACGAGGCATCTTACTCAAAACTAAATTTTGGTTCTTGCTGCTTAATTCTTAACACAATCAAAATATGACTTATTAGAGTCACCAAGAAAAACATGCTTAATCCACCATCCCAAAATAGTGCACCATTAATTACTTGTCAACTTCTGTAGTTTGGAGCACGGAAGAGGAGCAAGTTATTTAAAGCTGAATTGTTGTTCTGGCCACCAAACTCTTAATGCAATGAAAATTGGGCTTGTTACAGTTATCATGCAATATGATCAACAAATGCTTAACCATGTTAGCTTTTCGTGCATAAAAATTGTAGGAACAATATTCATAATATGGATTGATGTTGTATACTGTATTTTCAATTTATGAAGACGATTTTTAATTACACTGTATATTATATTAAAAGAATTTGAAATTTTTGAGAATTAGATGCTTAAGAGTTTCTAATATTTCTGTCTTGTGAGGAGTTGGAACTATAAAAAACAATCATGACTAGTGCCACAGCATAGACTGAGACTTTAAAAGGCACAAACAATAAATTTGACAGATAAACAATGTTGTCAATTGAAACAACTGAAGTCAACAATGGCATTTCTGCAATAAACACATCAAGCATGTGCTAGGTGTGTGTTTGGTTAAGATTTTGCATCTCATAACAAATCTAAAAATGATGAAGTGCTTTGCCTATATATACCTGCCTACGACGAATTGTCTGCCTAGCTGACTCTCTATTTGCCAATATCCTGCGTACCCTCCTAGCTTCTTTTTCTTCCTGAAAAAGAAGCCCAGTAAATTACAAGTGTCTACCATACCCAGATATTGCAGTAGAAAAAATTTCACACTCTGATACCGCAGTTAAATTTCTCCTTGACTTGTTACATCGACCTAAAATGTTACTTGAGTTAGATAACAAATCAGCATCCTGCTCCACTGAAATAGGTAATAAATCAGCATCCTGCTCCACCTCAATGTGTCTCGAACAGTTATCCTGCTCAGTCTTCTCTGTTTCTACAGATGCAGTATTGGGTATTTTTTCATCTAGCTGCTGATCTGCAACCTGCCATAAATTAAACCAATTCTAAATTTCTGCGTAAAATGTTACAACTTGGTGATACTCTTTTAATTATTGGATGTGATCTTTATTTAATTGACTTATCCAACGTATAGAGAAAAAGAAAAAGCTGACTAGGTTTAAATTTTTTCCTGCAGATGATACTTAGGCATGATGATAAAGAAATGAAAAAAATTCAAACAACAAATATTAATCATATTATTAGCTTGTTTTACTAATACTAAACATTACCATTAAATTGTTACACAATGGACATTGAAAAGAATTTTATCATAATATCCTAGTGGATTAACAAAATAATTCTATAGAGGATTTGGTTCTTCTAAGACATGCAAGGAATCTAAGTCAATTGTTATGCATGGATAAGAAGATCAAAGGCTGATTATTTTCTCTAGTAGGGGAAACATAACCATGTAAAAACTATTTCCTTTCTTAATAAAAAAAATCCCTACTACTGACTTTCAATCTAAACAGTTAATGCTCACAAAACCATTCAACTTAAGCGGTCATGAAAAAACGAGGGGCTTTCTTTCTATATTTCTAAAAATAGATACAAAAATGCAACTCAGACCATGGATGAGTCTTAAATAGAAAAACACTGGTCCCTACTATTAAGCTCTGGCTCAAAAGAGTAATTACCATTTTGTTTACTGTTTTGTCAATTGCGGAAAACTTATCTTAAATAATTCGATTCTCCTATATCTACGTTGAAATTGAAATAGTGATCTGACTCCTTCCTCCGCACCTATATATATATATATATATATATATAGAGAGAGAGAGAGAGAGAGAGAGAGAGAGAGAGAGAGAGAGAGAGAAATCTAGATTGTGTTGCCATAAAAACATAGAATATAATTCAATAGTATTAGTGCAAAACAGTAATACTATATGTGACAGTGAGGTTGAAATTGGGCAATTAAATCAGAAAAGAATAGCGAGGCAAAATGAACCTCAGGCCGATTAAATTAAAAAAGAACAGTGAGAGAAAATGAACCTCGGGCCCAAGAGAGGGATCGGAGTGAAGAGTCGGTGAGAGATGCGAGACTGGAGTCGCACCTGGTTTGGTGCATTTATCAGTGGAGTGAGAGTCGCACATTGCCAACTGTGCAAGAGTCTCCGCCGCTTCCATCTCTTCCGTGTCGACAAGCCGATCCAAATGTTCGCATGAAGAAGAGTCGGAAGAGGAAGGAGAAAAAGAAATGGAAGTGGATGCGCGTTTGTCCGCATCCATTGCAATCACAAGCATAGAACAGAGAGAGAATGAGAGAGAATATTAGTGTATTGTATTGTATTGTAATGTAATGGTGGGAAATGGGAACCGAACAGAGGGAGAGGGTATCACATCACTCACTGGTTAGGAGGAGAAGGAGACTGATAGTAGATGAGTGCCACGTGTTCTGCCAACTCACAAGTGGACATCTGTGATAGTAAGCAACAATGTATGTTTTCTCGCCACGTATCCCACATTTTACCACGTAGGCGATTTGCCGCACTTCAAAAGTCGGCCCCTTTAATATTCGATCATCTTTACTCAGTTAAGCGCATTTCAGCGCCTAATCAAACTCATTAAATTAAATAAACATGTTGTTTTTTATTTTAAATTTAATTTTTTTTATAAAATAATACACCGCCAACACCTCTCTTTCTTTCCATTATGCAACATTCCATGAATATATCTATACTGTGTTAAGGAGCTGATTTTATTCAACACAATTTACAAGATAGATAAATTGGCAACAAAATCATCGCAATGTTTATTATTTTTTCTTCTGCTATTAGGACGTCGGGCTGACGGATTGGTACGTGAATATGTCGTAAAAATTTCGATTCATAGTTTTTGTACATCAATCGTTTTGATTTGTTAATTTGGATTTGTCTTTTTAATATATTTTAAAAAATATTTATATATTAAAATTAAAATAAAAAATATATAATTAAAAATATTATAGTTAATATATAATATTAATGGATTAAATTGTTAATTCATCAATATTTTTTAATAAAGCATAAACAAAACATATTAGAATCTGTAATTTATTCTAATTATAATACCTCAGTCTATCTTATCTTAATTTTAAAGTATTAGTGACAGATAAACCAGAAAAAAGGACTATCATTTTGTTATTTATATATAATTGAATACTATAAATTGTTACGCTAAACAAGTAGTGAGATGAAAATTATTTTTCTAAAATTTATTTACTTTAAATAGAATTACATAAATATATATTATTTATTATGATAAAAAAATAATAAATGTCAAATATTAATTATGAAATTATAATTAATATATATATATATATATATATATATAACATAATACAATTTATATGTTTGACATAGTGACAAAATTATTTATTTAAGTCTCTTTTCATTTTCCCAAAAAAAAAAAATCACAAGATTATTCAACTTCTTTTTCCCTCTTATCAAACTCCTTCTTAGTTGACAAGTTTTATGTGTCAATTATTTTTTATTTATATAATTCGGTTGCTTTCTTTTACTTTCTCAATACAAGTTTTTTCTTAATATCTGTAAGATTGATTTAAATTTTAAATATAATATATAAACAATAAAGTAAATAAAAAAATTAAAATATTAAAAAATATTAAAAATATTAAAAAATGAACAACTATTTATTTTAATTAATTATACAATAAACATAATCTTAAATTTTGTTATATTTTAAAAAACTATACAAAATGCAGTGATTATAAACAATATAACATTATTATATGCATTATATAGGTTTTCATTTGTTAACTTGTGACACGTTTCATTTGAGTAGAACGATAAAATCATTTTATCAATCGTCATGATAGTGCCAATTCGAATGAAGAAATAACATCACTTCATGCGGTGCATTTTGGCATGGTGTATTAAAGATTTCATGAGGTGTTTTTTTATGAGTTATATGAAATGCATCCGATGTGTACGTGTCAACTTACGTGTCAATGGAATAAATATCTGTTTAATTAGTAATAAATTGTCAATATTCTTAAGGTTTTTTTTTTTTAAACCTATATTTTCTTACAGTAATTTATATAATTAGATGGTTCTTACTTGATTTTTAAGAAGAAAAAAACCTTTTCATATATAATACAACTACACAACTTTTTATATATCATTAATTAAAATTATGAATTTTATGTCATATAAACTATTATATTTATTGTCCAATAATGACAATAATAACCGTAAAGATGTTAGGCTTTAGTTACGATACCATGTTAGCGTTCAATATAAAACCAATTAGTAATATGTGGAGTAACCTAACATGTATTTAAATCTTACAAAATGAGATGAGGTAGGTTATATGAGACTTTCAACACATATAAAATCTTAATAAATATAATTAATATTATATAAAAAGCCTGTAAAATATTTTAATTATATTAAAAAATATTTAATATTTTTATTATATGAAAAGCATGTTAAAAAATACTTGTAAAATAAATAATTTTAGAAAATATTATTTTTTTAGATAATTTGAAACATGATAAAATGTGTTATTCTAAAAAAAATAAAAATTAAATATATTTATTATTTATAGATTAAAAATGAAGACTAAGAATAATATATATATATATATATATATATATATATATATAACTTATTAAAGTATATTTTTAAAATAAAATTATAATATATTAAAATTTTAAAGTAGATAAATCTTAAATAAAAAATATATTATTAATAAATACACTTCAGATTAAAATATTTTAATACAATATTTTTAAAATAATCTTTTATAGTTATTTTATTTGACTTCTCTTATATTATTATTTTGTCAATTTAGAATAATGAGAAGATATCACATAAAAATTATTTTTGTAGTTTACATAACTAGAATTATTTTAATTAATTAAAATTGATTTTTTTATTAACAAACTAATATAAGATTGTCGATTTATATTTATCTTATATATTTTTTTATCAATCTTCATGGGTGTATTTTTTTAACATAATAATTTTGTTCAATGAAAGTGCATGGTAATTTTTTTTATTGATGTCTATACAATTATTTTTTAGTTGATATAATGGTGTTATATCATAACATTTTTTATTCAATAATAATTAAAATATTTTTCTCCTTTTAATAGATTTAAATTATTTTATTTAAAAAAAAATTTAAAATTAAGCTATTCAAAATAAAAGTAATTTAAATTTAAAATATTTTTAAAATATAACATTATCAATCCAGACTCCATGTTTATGATAAAAAATAATAAATATTTGAAATTGTTCACATAAATTTTTCTCTCTTAACAAATGATTGAAAGAATTTTTTTTTTAAGTTGTGAATTAGTCTAAAGATGTTAACCAGGACTAGCTTTTTTTCTATAACATTTCAAAAAAAATTACAATATTCATTTAGTTAATTAAAATATTTATTGTAATATATTTTTAATACATTTTGATATATTAAATAAAAAATATTACTCTTATTAATGTGTATATATATATTTATGATAAAACTATTTATAGTTTGAGTATAATTTAGATTTACTTTATTTGAAACTCAAACTATAGTTTAGTGTGTTAGGATTGAGTAAATTTAAACTTAGTTTCTAATAAAGTTTTCAGATGATCATTTATCTGATAACATATCTATTTGTATATATTATACTTCAAAACACTTTCCTTAACAATTTTCTTATCTAATAAATACCTATCATATTATATCTCCTATAATACTTATATTTGCATCCCTCAATAAATGTGTTTATACATCATTTTTATTTACTTGAATCACATAGTAAAAAATAAAATTAGAAAACATAACATTATAATTACACAAAGTTTATCTACACTTTTATAATAAACTAAAACGCGTGTGTTAAAAACAAAATAATAGATTCACTCATTTGTATAATTGAAGGTAGAAAAGGCTAACAAATTAGATGAACTTTTATAAAGTTTTCGATAACAAAATTGGAAACACATTTTGTTTCTTCAAAGTGTCAACATTTCGGAACATAAAAATTAAGATCAAACATTTGCCGATAAAGTGATAAACAAATAGTCTGATTCACTTATCATAGCACTAATTGAGGGATCTTCAACCCTTGTTGAGTTTTGTCTTTTATAACAATACAGATCATCATCTACTTATTGGTAATGCTGAGGGCATAAAAGTGATCACAAGAAACACGATTGTCTCTTGGGCATTATTGATGAGGGCACGGTTTCCAAGTCAGTGCAGTCACCAAATATTGTATCTACTTTTAACTCTCTTTTTCTTTTTTTTAAGATACTCAAGAATGAAAAAAAAGAGTATATGTTATGTTTTATATTTTAATTATTTAGTTTGATTTATATTTTAAAATAAATAAAAAATTTGATCTTATATTAAATAATCAGATCGATTATTTATTTAATTAAAAAATATTATTTATATAATTTTTTAAATTTTATTTTAAAAAATAATTATTTATTTATTTACAATTAATTTATAATCTATTTAAGTCAAATAAAATTAAATCTATAAAATTATAAAAATAAATTATTATAGTGATGTAGTTGAGAGTTATAATTATTCATATATCACAAAATAAATATATTATATCATAAATATTAGATAACATTTTTTTTAACTTTTTAAATATACGTTATAATTTTTATTAATTAAAGTGTTTATAATAATTAATTTAAAATATTCTATCAAAAATATTAGATAACACATCTTTGAGTAATTAGAGTATCTCTAGTAATTTGTTTAAAATCAAGATTTAAAACTTTATTTATCTCCCAAACTCCTTCATATTCAACATAATTAAATTAAATATCATGTTTAATAATACATCTAATAAATGCATATCTTAAATTTTAGAATTAAATTTTCATTTCTTCAAAAAAGTTAATCTTATTATCTAACATAATTATAATACTTTGAAAATACATTATATCATTTTAAATGATTGATTTTTAAAAACAAATATAACAAAAAACGAAGAAAATAACTAAAATAAATAAATATTATATTAACTATTTATTATTTTTTCTAAATTATATATATATATATATATATAATATTATTAAATTAATTTATTATACATATATTTTCTAATAATATAATATTATTATTATTATTTTATAAAACCGACTAAACAGTAAGTTTATATATTAATTTGATTTAAGTCTATTTAAATTTAAAATAAATAAATCAGAATAAAATTTATCTAATTCTATTTAAATTATAACTTTTTTATTTAATCTAAACTATTTTTCTTTTACCTTTTACGGATCTATCCAACTAAAAATATTTTAACATCTGTCTTTAACTGCAGTTGTCAAGTCAAGCTTTTCCTTCTGCCAGGTTAAGGGCTAACAACCATGCATAGTAGCCTCTCATTAGAGCACGTTTACTTTAGTTTAATCAATACTTTAATTAACACTTTTTTATCAAATCATATAAGTTTAATTATTGTTTACAAAGTTATTTTTGACAAGCTTTTATGTGAATATTCTAATGTCATAAAATAATCCAAAGAAGGTCATCTAAAGGTCACCTTATTCTGGCATAAAGTTTCACAAATTGTGGTCATATCAAACATCTATCTCTTCACGTTTAGTGGGCAAAAGAAAAGCATGAGGTGAGAGAGATCATGATAACTATTGAACCTTGTAAAGATAACACTGAAGTCCTTCAGAAAATTTACATGGCATAAAACCTAAAGCAACATTAACCTTCACTTTAAAACCTAAAGCAACATCAAACCTTCACTTTAAAGGTCCTTATTACATTACATATATACTTCAATTAACGCAAGTTCCATCAATATTACCGCAAGAGCTACTAGGAGATGGATAAGGTGAAGGCAGTACAACCCCACCCAAGTGGATTTATGAAGAAGGGGTAGGGGGAAGCTTTGGAGAAAGGTGAAGCATCTCCAAGGCCTGTGTTCTAAGCTCTACAGGATAGTCAGCAACACACCCAATTCTAGGTCCAGCTCCTGTTGACCACTTAAGCGAAAGTTGGTATCCTAATTGGTAGGACTTGGAAGATTTCTTGGAATTAATTCTTTGCAATATTGCAGTCTTAGGCACCACAGCTCTCGGACTCTGAAGACCACATGATAAAGTCCTTGTATAAGTAACAGATTCAGGTTGAGGATCCTCCTTAACTGAGGATGGAGCATTGGTAGCTCCCTCAGAGATTTCAGGCACATACAGTCTTCCAATGCTTTCAGGTGTTGCGGCTCTTTCGTTAAGATTGTTGCTGTCCTCGTATATATCAGAATCTTCATTTGCCTTTCGCAACTGAAACCATGAATCATAATTAAGTGATTGCACCTAGTTTTCACTATTACATGCAAAAAGATTATGATAGAACCCAAGTGAAAAAACAGAAATACTAAATGATCAAGGTATTAAATAACTTCAGCTTGAATTTTTTCTGCAAACATATTTTGATCAAAAAATCTGTAACTACTATTATACTACAGTTTTCAGTCTTACTGAAACTATCATCCTGATGCAAATCACTTACCTCAACTTCATCAAGCTTGACGCCATTTTCCTTGAGATATGATAAGAAACCGTCGAGAGTGTCATCTGTTGGCCGGTAGTGTCCACTATAAGCAGAGATGGACTGCAAAGTCAAAGCCACGGTTCAATATAATCAGACATCTGTTGGAGTTTTCAGATTCATTAGATAGTCAATGAGTCCATCCATGAACATACAAGCAAACAAAAAAGCAGTCCCCTGTCTCATTTTCACTATAAAAGCTAGCAGGCAAATCTCAGAAGTTCCAGTAGCACAACACAATAATTCAATGATCATGCTACCTATGAAGCTAATTCACCTTAAGAATTCCATGCTCGGCCACAAGTCTTCCAGCAGCTAACGTAGCTCCTCCAGCCAAAAAACTAGAATGGTGAAATAATCCCTTCTTTTTCTAGAAGGTAAATACAATGTGTTAGTGGCGCAGGAAGGACATGGAAGGTTGTCCTTAGAGAAAATATGCAACTTTAAAATGTAACTGAGCTTGAACTGTTACCTTGCCAGCATAAAGTTTCTTGGAGGTACTCATTACAAATATCCATTTTGCATCATCAAAGTTTTCCTTTGTATGAAGTACATCCCCATATTGCTTGTTGATAATTTTACCCTCACGCACAATGTATTCATACTGTTCTCTCTCTTGCTAGTTGTGGAAAATAAGAAGCAGTAGACAATGGAATATAAAAATAGAGCAACTTGTCAAAAATCAAGAATTCCAACCTCAACCACATTTAAAAAATATGTATACACACACCCACACATCCAAATCAGATATGCACATACAGGTCCCAGATACTTAATGCATTGCTTTTGAAGCTTTGATCGGGAGCATTGTTCAAGATCAAGATTCTTCCCGTTTCCTAAATCCAACCTGAAGGAGACGAAATAAAATATTTCAGAGCGACAAACCAAACTATGTCCTCTGATTCATCTTACTACCTCACCGCCACTATGGTAAGAAACGAAGCTGCAAACCCTTTATTTCAATCATAAACTAGATATCAAATCCATTACAATTTCCAATTCAATATAAGTAATTTCAATACAAAAGCATAATAATCAGTGAAAATATGGAGAAACTCGAGGGATTAGACGCTGAACCGTACAAGTGTGTGATTACAAGAGGATTCCCATGTTCCCACAATGGAAACATCAAATTAACAACATCATTATGAGTTACAAATTCCAAGTTGATGATGTTGTTTGTCGGAATAAAGCTTGAAATTACCAAGAAACCGGCCAAACGATTCTACTTTTTGCACTGAAACAACATACGCCGGTGAAAAAAATTGTGCACATAAAACACACGGGCAATAAAAAAAATTGTGCCGACCCAATTTTCACAAAACCCGGTTTAATTTTAAAAGGAGGTAGAAAGTAGTAACCATCTTTCTCTCACTCAGGTAAAGTATCTTACCAATAAAAAAATGGCTGACCAGCGTCAGTTTTACACCATTCTTTATAGTAGTATTGCAAGTTGTGCCCATAGCGATGTCGTGGATCAATCTACAATTTTAATTCAAATATACAAGCATGATTCATCGAGCATAGAACATAAACAATATTTTGGCAGAAAAAAAAAACTAATAGGCCAAGCTAGAAGTATATATAGTGAGCATAATACACTCACAGCTTCGATCCAATGCTGAAAAGCCAACTTCTGTGCTTTAGCGTCCTTGGACAATCCTTTACCCACCTTTGCAAATAATTGAAACTAAATTAGACCCGCAACAACATATGTTAAGACACAGGCAACAAGATACCTTGGCAGCGTTCAATTTAACTCGGCTCCAGCGCGACGCAGCAGTTTCAGGCAAATTAAAGAACGAAATGGTGCTGTGGTTCAGCCTTACATAGTCTATGGCTTGCCACCTTCAAAAATTATACATATAAAGAAAATAATCAGTACTCGATACCTGAACTAGCAACAAAGCACAAATTATTAGTTGATCTCTCGGACCACCCTGATATTCATCTATCACGTGTCACCTAATCGAATTCTATTATATGTTATATAAATATTGATGGGAGGATGATTATTGGTTAGTATCGGACTATATAATTTTTTTGTAGACGAAAGAAGTATATATGTGTGTATATGGATGCAGACCATAGCTCTTCCGCGACAACGGCGGAGTCGGCCAACCTGCGGCGGGTACGGTAACTCCGGTAGACTTTTTGCAGCTTGAGTGCGGCAGTGGCGGGTCGGAGAGATGGTTGGTTGAGAGAAGCATTATTGGGAGGGAAGTAGGTGTCGGTGGATTGGGAGTGAAGATGGAACTGAAAGTCGGAGGAGAGTGAGTGAGTTTGAACCTCCATGGATGATGGGAGTGAACAAGGAAAAAAAAAACAAATGAGTTGTAGTGATATATATGTGTGTTGACGAGAGTAGTTGGTTAATTTGAGTGTGAGAGTGACTATAACACTTTAATTTGTAGCCATTCAAAATCAAACACCTCGATTATCTATCTTATTGGTTTTATTTTTTCTTGGATAAATACATGTGGTGTTATGAAATCTATTTCCACGACAACATCTTCGTCTGTCCTCTAACTACATCATACTTGTGTACCATAATAAGACACTAATAAGTTTCAACTAATCATTCCTCTTAAGTAATTTTGAAAAAACATACTATGACAATTATAGTATACACCATTATTATATAGAATTTTTTTTAGTGTGTAATTTGTTTTATCTCTGTCTACCTGCATTTTTTAAATTCATTCCCATTGAATATAAAACTAATTTTTAACATATTTATAACCCATAAACAATCACATACAAAATATAATATCGAATATTATTTATACTACGATCATAAAAGTTAAAAATCATAAACTATTAAATATAATATTCAATATTATTTTTACATTAATCTTTAAAGTAATATACATAAATTGTAATATGATATCAATAATGAAATATTATAGAAGTTAATGCATTATGGTATTTATGTGCATTTCATATCAACTAAAACATTTGTAACAATAAATACGTGCTTATAATAAAAAATTATAATGTGTTTAAATAAAATTTTATAAGTATATAAATAATATATAACTTTAATATCATATCTTATCTCAACAATTTTGGATTCATGCTCACAGAATGATTATCCATTGTAGTAACACTAGTTACTTTGTCTATTACTTACTAAAAACATAAATCAAAATTTATAATTCAAACTAGTTACATTGTCTATTACTTACTAAAACCATAAACCAAAATTTATGATTCAAATACCTTTTCATGTAAATTTTTGTGGTCTTCTATTTCTTCTACCACTCATTATATTATATTCAATAAAAACACTAATAACATAAAAATTTAGTTAAAATATGAAATCATAAGTGTAATATAATTATATTAAAAAATATTTTTTTATCAAAATACTATTTGGTTAATAAATATAGAAGTAATTGTCGATTAGTAAAAAATGTTAAAATTAGAATTGAGTAAAGATAAAATATTTTGTTACAAAGGAAATTTACTTATTTACTCATAAATGCAAAATAAATCCTTTATCCCTAGATAAAAAAAGTGATGATGGGGTATATTTGTATATTTTATTTCTTATTGCTTGTTGAATGAGTGAGTCGGGGTCCAAAATTCATACATCTTATTTTTTCTCTCATTTATCTAATCTCTAACATATATGATGTATATATGTGAATGAGACTACTTTTCTTACAGAATATAGTAGTGACATGACAACTTCATTCTATGTGTATACATGATTCTAACAACATTCAATAATGTAATAAAAAACATTCAATAATGTAATCAAAGGATCATCATTAACATTATTTTTTCTTTTTAAACATGATTATGATATAATTGTTATACATAAATAATAATTTAACATTAAAAAAACTATAAAAATAAGTATTAAATAGTGAATTGTTAATCATTTAATATTAGAAAGAATATAAAAAATAAGTATTACATAGTAAATTATTATTATCATCTTGCAATGTTTAATATAGGTCGAACTATATATTTTTACTATAAAAAATCTATGATTTATCGATGAAAATTTATTGATAGATTGATGACCATTAATAAATTGATATTACTAATGGATTTATCCATCAATAAGTTGGTGAAACGATTACATAATCCGTCGATAATACTCATCAAAAAATATGATTCATTTTTCTTCAACTTTATTGATGGATATTATTGATAGATGGTTCTATCGGAAAAGCCTATTTCGTCGATATTTTCATAGTATCCACCTATAAATAATTAAAAAATTAAAAATAAAATATAATTTGTGGGATCTGTCGCTAATGACATAATATCTATCGATAAATGTAGTATAAAAGTTTCATATTATTTTTGAAAGCCAACGTCTACGTTAATTGTGGCTCCTCCCAAATCATCTCCTTTCCTTGTGAATTATCTCATTCCCCCCAATTCATCTTCTTCCTCCAAAATTATGTGTTCTAATTATGTTGTTCATCCCAAATTAACTTCTTCCACTTACATCATCTTCTTCCCTAATAAAAAAAACCTGAGTCTCCCAATCTCCTTGCCCATTGAAATTGTGCAAATGATCTTCTTTCCTACCGACCAAAATCCCAAGTCCACTCAATCACCTTGCTTATCGAAACTGCTGAACAATAATGTTTTCTTCTACTACAATAGTTGCGTGAGACAATTGTCGAACAACCTCAAATCATGGTGCGAGGCTGCGAGCAATGTCACTACATATTATGGTAGATGTTCTTTTTTTACGTTTAGTGTCATTTATTATTCTCATTTATTAAAATTGAATAGATGTCAAAAGGTAACCAATGTGTTGTTGATTGTTTAAAACTTGTTTTGATATTGTGGTGTGTGTAATTAACATTGTGTTTGTTGATAAATTTTGAAATTATGGTGTGTGTTGATAAATTTAAATTTGTGGTATGTGTTGATTATGTTTGTGTTTGATTGGAAGCTTACGATAACTATCCTTAAGCATGTGAAATTTGTTGTTATTATTATTATATTATACTTTTTTTATTACATTTGAAACATATGCATTAATTGAATTTGACTGTATTTATAAAACAAAGGAAGGGTGATGATTCAAATCATTCATTCACGATTGGATTTGGTATAAATATAAAAATTAAGTATGTATATATATTTCTCCCATGAAAATTTCCAGAATTTTGACCTAATTGATTTAGTAATTGATTCAAAGTAAATTACTATTGTGCTTGGAGTCTACCCTCTTTAGCTTAAATGACATCGGTTGTGACTGTAAAGTTATGTTTCTTATTCACTTGTCTCCTGTGCAACTGTTTTAAAAGTATAATTGAAAGGTGCAATACTTAAAATTAACCTGATAGTTAAGCTTGTATGTGTTATGATAAATAAGATATTTACAATGACAATTTGTTATATAAAGATAAAATATTCAACATAGGTTATGAGCTCTTTGGCTTAAGGAGTACAGTAGTCCATATATTCCATTTGTGTCTATGTCCATAATGAAAGTCTAGATGAAAGACCCACACACCAAGACTATATTCTAGCCTATTATTGAGTCAGTGTGCCCATATTATATGGCGAAATGTATATGTGTTAGACTTATCTTTTGTTAGGAAAGACTTACATTATATTATTATAGCTTGTTATGAAAATATTTGTATTATTTTTAGCTGAATTTTTTATTTTTATAATTGTTTGTGGTACTCCACAATATAGAACTACCTCTTTAGCCTAACATTTATTAATCTCATTAGAATAATCACTTGATTTACATGACTAACTAATGTAATAGTTATTTTTTCATATGTCATGTTTTTTTTATATAAAATAAGTTATTATATTCGTATATCAGTTTTTTTTTATATGTTGTATTTTTTGTTATATAAAATAAGTTATTATATTTGTACGTGAGAAACTAGTTCACTTATTATTATTTTCAAATGATAATAACAATACAACATTGGGCAGAACAAAAAATGTTTTATTTATAGCATATGGTGCATTTTCAAGAGCATAAGATTTTAATGTGAGGACCAATCATAAATGCAGCAACTTTATAAGAGATGCTATCTTTGAAATAATTACCAATTACTTTGCTTTTAATGTCGAGGGTCCATAGTCCTAAAAGAGGCTGCAACATTTAAGACTGACAGTCCCTTCCAGAAAGCAGTACTTTTATGAACTTTTTTTAATATTTCAGTAGCTGCCATTTTTCTTTTCTTCTATGAGTTTCATCTTTCAAAATTCTTAAAAATTAATATTATGATTCAATGGATTAAAACTTCAGTGTTGTATTTCATGTATAAGTAATTTTTTTGTTACAAAATAAGAATTTATTCATTATTTCCTATTGGTTTTTAGAGGTGTTTAATTAGTATTATAACTTTTTTATATTAAAAAATATAATGGAAAATAATGAACAATGAGAATTATAATTCTTGAAAATTATTAAATTATTGTTGTTTAGTTAAAAAGTTGCAAAAAAATAAAATTGGTAAGTTTTATTGAAATCGAATAATAATAATATATTAGTTTTACTAAAATATTTAATTTATTATCGTATTAAAGTACTTAAAAAAATAATAAGAAAACATTTTTGTTTTCATTAAAAAACATATTTTAATTGAGAAAGTTAGATTATGGTCTCCCGTCAACCGTTTTTTACAAAAAAAGTGTCAAAAACTATTATAAATATACGCACTTGGAAGAGAAAGAAAGAAAATAAAAATAGAGAAAAAAATAAATAAAGTTGAATGTTTAATTATTTCGTATGGTAGAAATAAGTAAGAAATATAAATAAAACATTTTGAATGTTATGTAAATTAGTTGATTAGTAAGGAGTTAAGGACGTATGAAAAAAAATAGTAGAAATACATGAGAAATAAGGAGATTTGCATTGACTTTGTGTAGATTTGGTTTTATTTTTTATTTTAAAAAATAAATTTAGTTATTAATTTAAAAGGATTATTTGAAAAAAAGATAAAAACCATTTAATAGCTCTAATTTAACAACTATTTTATGTGAAAGAATATGAAATTACTAAAAAATAAAAAAGGAGAAAAATAGAGAATAAGTTTAATCAGTTGGTGATGAATGAAAAATGTAATGTAATTTATGTATCATTAATATAAATATATTTAATCAATTTACATTTTTTACATTTTTAAAAATTAAAATAAAATCATTTTTAAAACGTATTTTCAAAAAAAATGATTAAATAAGTTTTATAGTTTTTAAAAATGAAAGTAAAAATAAAATAAAGAATTAAAAAATAAACAAACACTATGACAAATAAATAAATTTATTTTTGTTTAATGATATTGTTAGATAGTTAAGTAGTATTCTTTAGACCACTCTGTCTTTGTGATATTTGAGTCATAAACTACTTAATACTTAAATAATATAGTTTATATATTACTTATTTGTTATTAAATAATTTGAATTATTGAATGTCTTGATAATTTTAATTTTTACATTGTCTCATTTTCAAAAAGTTGGTTCCAACTTATTTTAACATCAGTGAAAATGTTAGACTATAATTTTTTTATTATTTATTAAAGTATTTCTAATAATAACACTTATATAAGTTATTTTTTAAATATAAAATATAAATTTGTTCTACTATATCATTTTTTAAGTAATTTTGATTGATTTTACTTTAATATATTTTTTATTAAATTTTAAATAATTTATTTTTTCTCTTATTTATTTTATTTTTCAATATATTTATGAATGTTAGTTAACTTAAAAATTGGAATTAAAAATAATTTATGTATATCATTCTTTCTTAATATTTTATTAATTTTTTTTTTATATTTTGAAAAAATATTTCGAAGATTATTTTAAAGAAAAAAAGGTTTTTAAAATATATGACATATAAATAATAATTATTTTCGTTATAAAGTGGGATGAGTTGCGTTTATGCCCATGTACGAGAGGGAATCCTCTTCCCGAGAAATTGAAAAAACTAACTTGGGTGGATCGGGAAAAGGATGGGTTTCTCTCGCAATTTGGAGACGGAGGCCCATGCTTATAGCAGGATTTCGTTTTAGGATGGAGGCCCATAATAGTTTTACCAGGAACATGGTGTTTGTGACCGAAGGAAATTGTTGGATCCATTTCAATACAGGGCCCATCATATACACAAACCCTAAACCCTATTTATGTAATTACAGAAGTCGTAACCTTTTTTCTTTCTCCAATCCAAATCGCGCGTTCAGCTGCTACATCCTCACATTCCGGCGCAAAATGAAGGTCATTGCCGCCTATTTGCTCGCCGTTTTGGGAGGCAACGCTGCCCCTTCCGCCGATGACTTGAGGGTCATCCTTGGATCCGGTACATCTTTTTCTTTTCCTTCTCATTATTTTCTTAAGATTTGTTTTATTTTTAAGTGATTTATTTTACATTTTTCATTCGATTTTACTTTGCTTTGAATTTTCGATGTTCAGTTGGAGCAGACGCCAATGATGACAATATCAGTAGCTTTTTGTCTGAAGTCAAGGGCAAAGACATCGCAGAGCTTATCGCCGCCGGCAGGGAAAAGTTGGCTTCAGTGCCTTCCGGTGGTGGGGCCGCCGTTGCCGTGACCGCCGCACCCGGCGGTGGCGCTTCTGCTCCAGCAGCCGCCGAATCCAAGAAGGAGGAAAAGGTGGAAGAGAAGGAGGAATCAGATGACGTGAGATCTTCTTTCTCGTGCTATTTTTACGCATTGCAACAGTTTTACTTTATTAGGATTAAATATTGTTTGTTTGAAAAATATCTGACCGTTTTGATTTTGGTTTGTTTTAATCTGCAGGATATGGGTTTCAGTCTCTTTGATTAATTGGTAGGCTTTTCAACCTTTTGTTCGGATCACATTATCGACTTAGAGATCCTTAGCTTTGTCATTTTTATTTTTGGTTAAAGTAGTATTCAAGCCAATTGATTGTTTGGTTGAAATATTTCGGTTCAATATTAATTACTTTCGGAATGGTGTTAAATTATCTTCCGTCAAATACTTTTATATATATTATCCTTCATTTAGTTTCTTTCATTAGAATTCAGTATGTGTCTAGCCACTGGAAAAATTAGAAGTCATGATTAAAAATTGCGAGCAAGTCTTTAGTTTTACGGACAATGATAATGAAGAGTGTTTGATAATTGCTATAGTTTGTGCTGTTATCATTAAAACAAATATTGTCTTAGAAAAAAAAAAAAAAGAATTTGCTTGGGATATCATTCCTTCTCTATATAGGAAGGAGTGACTGGTATGCCGGTTTTCTTTGTTTACCTTACTGGTATTACTGTAAGACAAATTCCTATTTTCCAAAGGAGTTATATTCTTGCAAGTGCTCCCAACAAAATTCCTTGTATTTATAATCCATTATGACTTCCTCGTTAATCCTGTTTTCCCAAACTCTAGGCTTTGGTGGTTCTGGAATATTGGCCCCAAATAACACTGTCTCGCCTACATTGTCGCCTCAGAACTGCCGAAACTGTTAAATCCACGAAAAGAGGCGCTTGTAATGAATTAACACATTAAGTAATAATGTACTAAGCATGATTCAAGACAAGAAGCTTTCACTAATGGGAGCGCTAAAAAAGAAGCGAGGATAGATATACTAAGTAGCTTTGATAAATCTGGCGAAACTAGGAGTAACGTCAATTCGGTTGGAAAAAATGTGGAAAGCGTAGAATGGACAATCATTTGTGCTGTGTAGCTATTTCAAACTTGCTTGTCGTTTGTGTGGTTTGTATCATGTCTGCCGAAAAGGGCAACTAATTCAACTTGATATGCGGATCATCACGAATATGTCAAGTATTTTTTTTTTTTTTTTTTAATGTCTGTTATGGGTCCCCGGAACCTGGATTTAAAGATAGGTTAGTGTTTGTTTACAAGTAATGGGAAAAGTGACCATTGTATCACCAGGTCACTAACTCACTGATGCTCATCCAACAATTTTTTTTCTTCTAAATTTCATAAAGTTAATTACTGCCCCATTTTCTTTTTCATTTTTAGTTATAGTATTATTAATCAAGAAGTTGCACATCAAGGTCCTTAATATATTTTGTATCATGCTTCCTAAATATATTTAATTGAGGAGTTTACTGGCAGATTTTTATCCATCAGAATTAGCCAAACCAATAACAATGATTCTTTTAATAACAATGTTAGAATTTTAAAATTATCCTCTTACAACACTAATGCTCTGGGTAGACTATCTTAATGCTAATGTAAGGAGTCGCAACGCTGCATTAAGCTCTAGGTCAATGCATTGTTGTTCAATTTATCAGCTTGTTCAAACTCTTTTAAGTTAAAGATTTTGTTGCATCAGCTCCCCTGTCAACCTAAATTACCTGCAAAACAAGATTAAGAAGTATTCATGAGAAGGATAAGTAATGTGGACAATGAAGTGGCACCACTTCTGTTTTTCACAGGGATCCATCCTTACTGTTGAGCAGTGTGCTCTTTGTACCACTCAATAACCAGACCTTTCGAGGCCATTTCTATCATGCTTGGAACCCAAGAACTCCGGCAGGATCTCCAAAATGCAATTGTGACTTGAGTCAAATACAAAGTGAGATAAGCAAGGCAATGCGACATTTGATTGCAAATTCAGCTGATGCACTTCCAGGATTAATAAATATATTCATCAAAATGTGTGCTAGGGAAATATCTTTGGTGGGATCTTAGTTTACTATTTGATGATTATCCTTGCTCTTGATGTTTGCTGGTGATTTTAATACAATAATTGATCTCCATGAGTACTGTGAAAATAGGGAACTTCCCAGTTACCTATGACTCATTTTAGAGAATGGACGGATAAGAACTCACCACTTGCATACCTCTGGAGGTCAATATACCTGGACAAATGGTAGAACAGAACTAGGGTGGATAAGAATAAAGTGCTCTGCAAGCAACATTGGTTGGATTATTGGTCTTCTAGGTGTTTCTTTCATAATTTTCCTTTTATAAAGAAAGTTAGAAAAAATATGAAATGAAGAAGAAATCATGTTTCCAGTTTCTTTCCATTTGGGTTTAGTCAAGAAGTTTGTATGAAATTTGTTGGAAGAAGTTACTTGGAAGGAGAAATATTATTGCTGTCCTATGTTTGTCTTCAATCAAAAGATTAAAAGTGTAAAGAGAAAATTGCAGAAATCGAATAGAACTGTTTTGGAAATGGTAGTGTTAGGGTGGAGGATCCAGCGACTAAAATCAAAGACAACTCGAAATACAAAATATCTATAATATTTGAAAAGGCTTTGCAGAATTAGACATGTTTCCAAGTATATTTCTTTCTGAAGGCAGGGATCATAGTATGCCTAACTCTCCGGATATTAACAATCATATAAAGCGTGCATTTCACAAAATATCTATAATCCAAACTTAACGTCATTTCACATATTTGAGTTTTGGATCCAAGAAATTGCCATCCACCTTCAATAAGTTTTTGCTTTTTTGGTCATTCGTTCTTTCCCACCAAAAGGTGGCCCATAACTGATGTTAGGTCAATGCATCAGATCTCGATACTGACCAGGGCCCAATAGACAATTCAGAAAAAAATAAAAATCAAGAAGCAGAACCGAGTCTAATGATTAGACATTATGATGTAAAGTTAAGCCAACTCATTTTGTAATATAATAATCCAAAATTTTACACCTTGTGTCCTTTTTATTGGGAACTATTATGCATGGGAAGGAGACAGTTAGAAGGGGCAAAGAATCGTATAGAAAAGACTAGTGTTTAATTCATAATTGCTATTTCATTGATTGATTTATGCATTCTGATTGTGTGACTGTGACTACGAAGGACCCTCCTATACTATTTCCATAACTTTTACTATAAACTCCATACTTTATTTATTTGCTAACTCATACTCATACGTGTATGACCTCCAATAATATAGGGAGGGTCTCTCTATATATATATATATGTGTGTGTGTGTGTGTGTGAACATTATTGATTGTGCTGTGGGTTTTTTTTTATGTGAATTTATTTCAATAATTCTTCTTGATTTCATAAAAAAATAAATTATACTTTTAAAAATTTAATCAAGAACACACGTTCATTGTACTGCGTCTGAATTCAAACTATAAAAACCTTACAATGTATCTTACTCGTTGGTTTGCTCCATTATTGTGCTATGCTCAATGGCCCACCTTCCATTACTACATATGGATACTTAACTCTTTTGTTCTTTTTCTTAGTCATAGGTACATCACTTAATCTATGTTTGAATTGAAATATGAATATGGGAGAGTTAAAAAAAGAAAAGAAAAACAAATTGTTTGGATAGAGAAAAAAATAAGAAAAAATAAAAGAAATGAATAAAAAATATTATTAATTGATAAGATTGATTTGATTAATTAAAAATTTAAATAATAAAATAAGTTAATTAATAATTAAAATATTCTTTAAATAATTTAAATAAGAATAATTATAAATTATAATTAAAATATAATTTAATATGAAATAATTATTTAATAAAATATGTATTCTTATAATAAAAAAATATAATACTTTTAATCATTTTTTATTTATAATTTTAATTAATTTTCAAATAATTTACTATTAAATACCTTTAAATATTTGTATCTTAAATTTAAAAAATTAGCCTATATTTATTTATATATTAATTACAATAATAAATTATATTGTAATTAATTTTCAAAACTTTATAATTGATATATTTTTATTAACTTGTCATAAGTACTAATTTATTATATATAAAAAATTAATTGATTATAATATCATTAATATAACAATTCCAAAAATATACATACCATATATATATATATATATATATATATATATATATATATATATATATATATATATATAAAACACATAGAGTAATTTAAAATATAATTTTTCTCTGCATACAAATATAAACAAAATATAAATTTATTATTTTTAACTCTAAACTTATTCTTACTAAGGTCTATATAACATATCCTTTTATGTAAATACATAATCATCATAATGCAAGACAATATACAAAACACACAGGTAAGCTAATAATTCGATTTAAGTATGAAAAATTTAAATATGAGATAATATAACATAATTCAACTTTAAGTTTTCATATATTACATCACACATATACAAGCTCATATTCAAGTCACACAAACATTGTATAACTTTCGAAAGACTAGATATTGAACTAGACATAAGATATTTGCACATGTCACACCACAACTTTCTAAGTACATATAGGATGCTTAGTTTTGTTTATATACTCACGTGTGATTAGAATAATATCTAAATGACTTATCAAGATACAATTTTTTTTTCCACACCGCAGACTAAGTCACTAGAAACTTTCTTCAACTCTCACCACCTAATTCTTTCATCTATATAATTTCAGTGATTAGTAGAGTTAGAATATCTTCTCGAGTCTTAAATCAATATCTATACGTACGACATTATACACACGAGGATACCCCTTGTTAATTCTCATATCATGAAACAATATTTTTTAAGACGTACATAATAACATTCACTACATCTCATGAAACTACATATTATTTCTCACATTATGACAAAATATTTTTTTATTTGATATTTTCTTACTCTTTTAATCATAACTTTTTTTGTAGGCATCCTTTTTAACTAATTTTTATTTTATTGAATTTCTTATTTTTTTTAGGATTCGATTTGCATATATGAAGCGTTTAATTTGGAGTTTGGAGTTTTTTTATAATTTTTCGAAAATAGTTGAGCAAAATTGAAAGTGCTAAGTGAATTTCAAAGTGTTAATAAGATTTCAAATCTTTAATGCTAAATTTTGATAAAATTGAACATTCAACACTCTTCAAAATCCACTAGGCGAATCTGAAAGTACTGAACAAAAAAGTTTAAGTATTTTCAACACTACCTTAAATTCGTTGGACTAATTCGTGACAATAGTAAATTGCATAATATGCTCAATATGTTGTTTCTAATATTCCAAATCAAATTAAATATAAACACAATCTTTCAAATTATAAATCAATTCACTAAATTTAATCTAACAACAATACATTTATACAAAAGACTATTATTTTACATCTAATAGAAATCAATTATACATTCACATTCAATACAATCATCACAAATCAACACATACCAAATTACACAATTCAATTTTCTGAAACTCAATCAATGTGACCAAGTCACTTTCACGTCCAAATATTCTAGCTTAGAGTATTATGAAAATTGAAGAATAATTAACTTCCCTTACCTCAAACACATTGTCTCTAAATTATAAAACCCTAAAAACTCCTAAATTTTTAGGAAGATAGATCTTACTCACAGAAAATCTCAATTAACAAATTGAGCATACTATAATACTCCTAGTCAAGATTACACCAAAATTTAAATACAAGCCTTCGGACCTACATGCAAACCTAAACCCAAATATGAAACCATGGCCTAAAATTAGAAGGAAGAAACTTACTTTATTTACAATTCTGATAAGGTAGAAATGATATTTTCTCCTTTAGGACCACTAAGGTGTGCTTGGATTTGAAAAATATGAGAGAGTAAGTGAGAAATTTAGAGAGAAGGTAGATAAAATATAAGTTAGAAAAATTATGATTATATGAGAATTAAGTTTGAATCGTTATTTATAATTCTTTTTAGCTTAATCGGTAAAATTTCAAATTTACTTTCATTATACCATTTATATTTTTAACTCATTTAAATTGGGTCCTCACCCCAACAACAAAAAATTGTCTTTGAAAATTCACTCACTAGGAAAAAGGTAGATATAAGATTCTCTTATGTTTTCTTTTAACTCCCAAGTGGAATAGTTCAACCAAACATCTCGTAACACCTTCACCATGCTGATAGCCTAGCCTCAATGAAAATATCTTTCATGCTTATACCTTCTCCAAAACATAAATTGGGTTAGTTATATACTTTCTCAATTGAGACAAGTAGAAAATTAATGTATAAATTTATCAAATGAGATTCATAATAAAATATTTAATTTTATTTCTAACCAACTCTGCTTAAAAAATCTATTTGAATAATCTTAGTATGTTAAAACGAACGTTTGATATTTTGATTAAAAAGTGAATTTGAGGAAAGGAAAAAATATAGAAAAAATAAAAAGTGGAAGAGAATAAAAAGTGAAAATAAATAAGTGAAAAAATGGTATTATTTTATTAATTTTAAATAAACTTATTTATAAATTTAATATTTTATTATTATTATTGTAATTAAAAAAATGATATTAATATTTTATTTCAGGTGTTATTGATAAAGATAACATTGTGTGATACTATTAATCAAAATCACTTCGGACATGCACTTAGAATAAAATAAATCTTTTCTGCATCCTTTTGCGAAGTTTAAACATAAAGCAAATTATCCAATTATTAAATAGAAAAAAATAATAAAATAAGAAAAAAAAATTGTCCGAAAAGAAAACCAAAGAATGTTGTAATTCAAAATTTGGTTTTCCCCTCTTGGTGTGGTATATATGGGGACAGAAATAGCAGAGGATTCCAACAATGAATCTGCATTTGGTATAAATCATTCTTCCACTTCCAACCATTATTGGGTGATGACTGAAGATGAATACTTTCTCTTTTCTAAAAAGGCTCACATGATGATGATCACTCATATAATCTTCATGTGCTTATTCTGTTCTCCTCTGTCAAAGGGTTTCAGAACTGTTCCATGGCACAAGCGCAAAAAAACAAAAATGATTGATAGCTAACACTGTTCCACTCTTGATTTAAGTTTATGGATTTTTCCTTAATCTTATTCCAAACACGAGAATGCACATTTTCTATTTCATATATCATATATAGAAAATATGTTAGTCACATCAATAAATAGTATAGGTGATAGAATTAAAGTATGACATTAAATATTGGTGACGGATAGGAGACTAAAACATATGTTATGCGACAGCCATGCTGGGTTATTAATTAGAGAGGTGGCAACGGAAGTACTCTGCTTTCGTTTTGCCCTCTTCAAAATTATTTCAGTGGGTTATTATTTTCGGGACAAGTTATAAATTATGATAGAGTCTCAAAATAGCCTCAATGGATCCATAATAAAGTTTTGAAAAATAAGTTTGGGTTAAATAAATTTTTTTGTGATATAAATTAGACCTTAATTCGATATATTTATATATGATTTATATTAATTTAGACTAAACTAATTCATAAGTTTGAGGATTAATTTATTTTATAAAGTAATAATTAATTTTTAAATAAAAATATTTTTATTTTATTAAAAAATAGATATATTATAAATTAACTTGTCAGATATTTATTTATTTTAAGAATAAATATATAATAAATATTTAATAATATTTTATTTTAAGATATAATAATTAAGATTAATTATTATTTTAAATTAATAAATTATTACAACTAAATAATAATAATAATAAATAAGTTGTTAATTTTTATTTTTAGATTGAAAAGATTTTTTTTAATAATTTATATATTAAATAATTATATCTTAAATAAAAACTAATCTTAATAATAAAATTTAAATTTTTAAAAAATATTTTAATGTACATATTTTTTAAATTAATTTATTTTGTATAAATATGTCAGTTATTTTTTTAAATTAATCCGGTCAAATTTGACCTATTAGTTCTTTAACCTAAGATATTATTAAATTATATTAAAATTTTTGATTTATTTTAAAATATAGATTAAATTGAATTTAGAATTTGTTTGCTTAACCTATATTACCGTATTAGATTGAGTGAATTATTTTGACACTACTAAATTTTGATATATCAAGATTTTTTAATTAGATACATTTTCTATTTTGTTATTTATTATATTTTTATTAGAATAATTAAAAAATATTTATATTGAAATATTAAAAAATGTATTAAATTATTCTTTCACTCTATCACACTAGATCCATATGAGATTGACATTATTTATTAACTTATAAAGGTAAATTTAGAGGTGATAAATAATTTATTTTAACCTATCCTATGTCTTATCTATTAAAAACTGGGATGAGTCAATTTATCCGTTGTAATGATAACAAATTATAGTTTGTAGTTTGTTGCGATAGAGATTATACTAATATATTACTGAGGACATGGAGATATGAATAATAATATCAAAAAATAAATAAAATAGCATGATCATTATTAAAAGTAGAAAAAAATAATAATAAAAATATAAAAGAAAAAAATATTATTAGACATAACATAAAATAAAAATTTATTGTATATCTGAAAATAAATTAAATAATAAAAATAAATATATTACCGAAAATAAACTAAATAATATAAACATGTCTCTTAATAATCATAAGTATTTGTCATAATATTTTTCAAATTGGATCATCAAATCACTAAAAATATAAATTTAAAGTTTAAAGATTTAATGAAAAAACAATCAGATTTAATAAAATAATATTTTTATAATATAATAAATATATAATAAATTAATAATAATTTTATAAAAAAATAAAAATAAAAATTACTATCATAATAATAAAAATTATAAATATAAACTATATTAAAAAAAAAATAAAAAAAAATTAGAATTTAAATAAAAATATGATAAAATGATTATTATTTAAAATTCACATATTAATACGAGAAAAAAAATAAAAATAAAATTATAATATTTATAAAACCATTACATTAAAAAATGTTATCTAAATATTTGTTTTTACTCTACTAAAAAATTCAAATAATTTTACTAATTTTTCTAATTTTATTCTAATTTAATTAACATTCGATTATTTTGATTCAACCCGTTATTAAACCAGATTTGTAATATTAAATACTTGACCTAGGTTAAGCATTAAAAAAAAGAAAAATGATATTTTGACAACCTAAATCTATATAATTCTTGTAAACAATTATGTTTTAATATTATAATAATAGTTTTATTTTATTAAATCAATTTATAAAATATTATATTAAAACTATGTTTTAATATTATAATAATAGTTTTATTTTATTAAATCAATTTATAAAATATTATATTAATAAAAATGAATTGTTTGAAGGGTTGGATGGTTTCTATTGGTAAAAATATCACCACTCTAAGAAAAATCCTTGTTCCAAATGTCATTTGTACAGTAATTTTAAGATTCCGGAATCTGGACTCGCACAGGTGACAAACAATGCTAACAATTCAAAAAAACCATGGGGAAGCATCATGATTAACACTATGATTCAGTTTTTCCTTGGGAAAAGGGAAAACCTGCTTCTTTACAGCTTTTCATCTCATTTGACTGCAAATTCATTTCTTTCAAATTACGGTTTTCCGTCAGTGTGAAACCAAATCATGAACTCTTCATTTGAGTTATTAATTAAAATAAAATTAAAACCACATTGCTTAATCCCAACGAGAAGGCAATAACAAAAAGTTGACCTTTTTGGCTCCACTAAACAATTTGTAATGGGGTATGAAATATATTCACGACATCAATAATAATTTTTTTTTTAATAAAGTTAACATTCGTTAAACGAACCACATCGGATACTATGAATTTTGTTTTGTTTTAATTGTGAAGCAACACAATTATCGTATCATGCAACGTGTATCTGAGATTGAAATAAAAATGTAGGAGAAGACAAATCTGAGAAGTGAGATATTATTTAAATAAAGAGCCAAAGAAAACGCGCATGGGAAACTTTGTCCATTTTAAAATTCCCACCATGCCCTTCATATATTGCGAAGTACATTCTCCCATGTGTCTTTTCAACAATTTCGGTTTCATAAATGAAGAATTTATGTAGCAGTATTTATTTACACTTTCGAATTTTGATTTTATTGTAGCAGGGTGGGTCCTGTACGCACAAAGCAATCAGTGCCATTGCTGAAAACGGAACAGAAACATATTACTACGTTCTGTTCTGCATCTTTCTCTATAACCTTTCTATCCGACATTTGATGCGTTTCGCGCTTAGGGTTTTTCTTCTTCATCTTCTTCTTTTTCTTCTCAGTTTCTCTCCATCACTTGAAGCTGCTGCGTCAATGTGCCATTCTCTCTTTGCCTTTGCTTCTTCTCGCTGGTACTACTTCTGTCCCAGATCGCATTTGCTTCATTTTAAATGCTGACTGACTCATCGAACCAATACGTATGCGTATGTACAACTCTCTCTCTCTGTGATGAACACTTTTATTTATGCCGTACATCTTTGCAGATTTCGACCTTTTTCTTTTGCGGTTTGAGTCGTTTTACTTTTCAGCTGCTTTGGATTTTAATCTGTGAAAACTGGATTTCTAATTCTAATGCTAATTCATCCACTAGTGTGTGTATGTTTTAAAAAAAAAAAAAAACATTATTTTGGTGAGTTTTGGTATGGGGACCATTTTCTGGGGATGGAGATAGATCCTAAGTTCATAGGACCACCCCTTCCTTTCGTAATGGGGTAATGCGCTCGTGAAAAGCAACAAAAAACTGCCTCACGGCTTCGCCTGGCTCTGCATTTCTCCTGATCTGTTGATTGATTACTTTCATAAACACTTTTAGAAAGATATGAGAATAAGACAATGTTTCCTGCTGTGTTTTTTTTGGAGGGGGTGTCTTAATGGTTTAAATAATAGCAAAGGGCTTCGATTTGGGTGTTTTCACTCGATTCTGGGGGGTCCAATAAGGAGCAGTAAGAAATGTTGTTTGGAATAACAGCCTGTACATTATGAATAGCAACAAAAAGTGTTCTGCTTAATTTTACTTGAATATATAATTATTTGGTTCTCATTGTTTCCTTCTTAGGGTTTGTTTGGTTGGGGCGGGGAGTTGGAGGAATGATAGGAAATGGGAGGGGAAGGGAAAGTAATGAGATTATGGAAGTTAAGTATTATGTTTCCTTACAATTATTGAGATCTCCCATTGTCTGTCAACTCCATTTGCTTCCCTTTTTTACTCATTAAATTACATTTATTTTCATATTATATATATATATATATATATATATATATATATTTTTTTTTTTTTTTTGCTGATGCTTTCAAATTTTGGCCATTATAGCAGAATTTGAAATGTCAAGTAGCTGGTAAACAGAGTGGATATACCATTCAGACTTCAGTTTTGATCTGACCAAAGAATGGTTTGGATGCTGGGTTCTCTTTCCTTGGATTGTGATCTTATTGTGAGGTGAACTAGTTAGCAGTGAGACTTGAGCATTGCGACTCAACGTTTATGTGCTACCTCTGTTATGATAGTGTTAAGTTAGCTGAGCAATTTGTCTTGTAATGGGTTCGTTCTCTGGCACTTGTGAGATAGTAGAAGCAAGGGAGGAGCTAAATACAAGGAAAACTCCTGGGTTTTATCAGTACAATTCTGAGTGTAGCACGTCCGAGAAAAGTCACAAACTTGCGATGCTGAAACTGGGATACAAGGATGATCTAGACGGCGATATTAATAAGTTGTTTGAATCGATTACTCTTAAGTCTTCATCAAAAGATTTGGGTCTTTTACAAGATGGTATAAGTCCGAGGCTGAAAAGTGCGTTAAAAAAGCCAATTACAATGGGTGTTCCTCGGTCCCCAAGAGTTGGCGCTTCTGAGCCTGTTAATTTAAAGCAAGCATTAAGAGACCTTTGCATATCTAAGGCATCGGAAATGGCTGCTATGAAGCGGTTATCAAAATCAACAGCTTCTCCAAGAATATCTGAAGTTGGGAAGATACAGACATTGTACAATTCAGTTGTAGCTGAAACCAGTCGATCTGGGTCTTACTCTGCTGAAAGCAAGGGGCCGCAAATTGAAATAGCTCTTGTACCTGAAAAAAGTGAGTCCCTTTCATTGGTGAAAACCTCTCAATCTTATCAAACTTCCCAAATCGCATCCTCGAGCCGAAACATTCATTCGTCTCGGGAAATTGCTCTTGCTACTACTCAATATGATTCTGGGACTTCATCGATACAGAATGATCTGGCATGCCAATCAGGTAAAGTTGGAATTCAATCACAACGTGTGGTACCTGTTGAAACAGAAGAACAAGCATCTGCCTCTTCTCCTTCTCTTCATAATACAATTGGAAGCAAACCAGAGGTGCCCAAAAATGCTTCTTCCCCTAAAAAGTTGGGTAATAAAGCATTTGTATCAAATACCGGGAAGAAAGGTAGGTTGCAAACAGTATCTTCATCTGCTTCTGTAAATGGCAACAGAGTTAACAAACTTCCACGCCATGCCCCCCGCACTGTTAAATCGGTCATCAAGAACAAGAGTATGACTAAGAAGAAACTAAAGGAGGATCCAGGTTCTGCTTTAAGTGGTCCTATGCCCAATGAAGTTAAGAAGCCAGTTCCTGGTACGCCTCGGCTAATTTGTGAGAGATGTAGGTGTGCTTTAGGAAATACAAGTGAAGAGAGAAACCAAGATACTGTGGCATTGGACTTTACCAGTCCTGGAAATGGAGCAAACTTGAGTAATGTGCACTCAGGTTCAAACAAATCTGGTTTGATGTCAACTGGCTGTAATAAAAGCAAAATAGGTGCAAAAATCAAGAACTCCAAGTTGAAAGAGCAACTTGAATTTTCACAAAGTTCTAAGAGTAGTCAAGGTGAGTACAGTAGTAGTACAAGTACCAGTGATGAGAGCAATGTAAGTGGCTCAAGTCGTAGCACTAGGCCTCACATGTCAAAAGATGTCAGATGGGAAGCCATAAGACATGCTCAAATGCAGCATGGAGTCTTGGGCTTGAGACACTTCAATCTCTTAAAGAAACTTGGCTGTGGAGACATTGGGACTGTATATCTTGCGGAACTAATTGGTACAAGTTGCTTGTTTGCTATTAAGGTCATGGACAATGAATTTTTGGAAAGGAGAAAGAAAATGCCTAGGGCTCAAACTGAGAGAGAAATATTAAGGATCCTGGATCATCCTTTTCTTCCCACAATGTATGCACAATTTACATCAGATAATCTATCGTGTCTCGTCATGGAGTATTGTCCTGGAGGAGATCTTCATGTTCTACGGCAGAAGCAGCTTGGTAGATGTTTCTCGGAGCCAGCAGCAAGGTAAGATACTTAGAGCAAGTATCCAGTAATATATTAAGATTTTATTTTCTGTTTGGTCAGAAGTTATATGCCACCACCCACCAACTAAATTTAGGCGTGCAATAAATGATATGATGTCAACTGCTCAAGTATTTCCTGGTATAAACGACTATATCTAATTTGCTTAATTATTCTTGCAGCGCCTGTGATGTCATTCATGCATATATATTCTTATTGTAACAACCCAATATTTTATTTATTTTTAATAGTTGTGAAAGTGTGAGTAATCTTTTCACATTTTCTAAATACGAAGTAAATAAAACAGAGACAATAGATCACTGGTCATGTGCTTGCATATTAGAAAGATACATATAAAAACGTCTGACTTTCATGAAGCATACTATATACATTTTTCACTTTCACGAGGTGATGTCATCACAAACCTGGTAAAATATACAATCAAAATGTTAACTCAGTAGGTCAATATCCACACTGTACAAAAGAAAAGTCGTTCCTATAGCTCTAGTCTGTTTCCTCCTCGTCATCACCTGATCCCTCCGAGGCTACTGATCTTGCACATCATCCACCTTGTTTGGACCAAGCATCATCTACCCTTTTGTGATACCATGCATTGTCCACCTTTTTGTAGATCATGTACGGTGTACCCTTTCGTATACAATGCATCCTCTATCTTTTGTAGACCATGCATCTTTTACCTTTTTTTTTTATAGACTATTAGACAATTTGTTTTAGACGAAGCCACTTTCTTTCATCTCAAATTTTCAGATTTTGACTCTAAAAGAATTTTTTATTTAAATAGAAAATAATATTAAAAAAATTATAAATTATTGAAAAGCTTAAGAAGTCTAGTTTCATAATATGTAACTACATGTTGAAAACTGTTTCCCAGCAGTTAAAACAAAAATTTGAAAGAAACAAGTTACTTTGTCTAAACTTTTTAGAGCATGAAGTACCAACTTTTTGAGTAAAGGTTGACTTTGTTTGTACTTTTTCAGATTTCAATCCCTGAAAGAAAAATTCATTAAAAATAGCAAATGATACCAAAAATTATAAATTATATATAATTGGAAATCTTAATGAATCTAGTTTCAGAATCTGCAATTAGATTTCAAAAACTTCAAACCAAATGATACGATAATTCATTTATGTCATTCCACTTGAAAATTTCAAAGCAGGAGTACTAATTTCTATGGTTCATAATTCTTTCATTTAAAAACATTTTTGGGTAATTCCAAAGCCTGTATTGAAGCTTTCCGAGTCAATTTTCTAACAAAACTGGTCTCAGATCATTTGGTGGGGTAGAATGTAAATTTTGAATTTTTCATTAACTTACGTTCATCCACGTCTGATTTGGAAGATTAAGGGGTTTGTGTTCTAAATTTTTTTACCGAGCTTCCTCTTGTTGTAGGACATTTTCCAAAATAAAATTGGTAGAAGAACATTCAAACTTGTCAATACACAGTCTACAAACAGAAAATAATTAATAGTTAGTATAGAAAATAAACATAAAGTAAATAAGATTAGAAAATAGTAAAAAAAGGATCATTCCTGACTCCCCCTTACCTTAGAGAAGTATAGATGATGTAGAAGAGGAATGAAAAGTCTTGATAGTAAAGAGAATACAAGAGTCTCACTATCAAAAGAGAGAGGGTGAGAGTTTTAGTAAAACAGAGAAAAGAGTGTTTTAAAGTACAGAGTTTTGAGAGGTACGGTGAAACTCGGGTAAGTTCCCCTGTTTTATCTACTTCTTTAACTATCTTTTTTCCCCATGCGACCTTTTTTTTTACTATTGGGTTCCCAAATACTTTTATACTCCTAACATCTTTATAAGATTAAAAAAAAACATTTTAAAATTTAAATATATCATGTAAGTTATAAATATATCGTTTTTTTTTATTTTATATTTTTATCTACTTTCATTGATAATAATGTAAATTTTATAGTTCTTTGGGTCATAGCCTGAAAATTTATAAGATTTTCATAATCAATTAGAATAATTTTGAGCATACTAATATGAATCAAAATTTTGACATTCCTTTTAAAATTGTTCTACATCTTTAAAAATAATAATTAAAGGAAAGTAATTACTACAGTTGAAAGTCCCACGTCGCCTGCCTTATGTCCTTTGTTATGGTTTAAATACATATTAGACTACTCCACATATTGCCAATTGATTTTATGTTAGAACCTTAACATGGTATCAGAGTCAAAACCTAATATCTTTCTGGTTATTGTTTTGGGTCAAAAGCACCCTTTGCCTGATCCGACAGACTTCGTTGGAGGGGGTATGTTAAAAGTCCCATATCGTCTGCCTCATGTTATTTGGTATGATTTAAATACATGTTAGACTACTCCACATATTGCTAATTGGTTTTATGTTGGAATCTTAACATGGTATTAGAACCAAAGCCTACCATCTTTCTGGTTATTGTCTTGGGCCAAAAGTTGCCCTTTCGTTGTGGGTCAAAAGTACTCTTTGCCTGGTCCCGCATGCTTTGTTGGAGGGGCGTGTTGAAAGTCCTACATTTCCTATCTCATGTCATTTGGTATGGTTTAAATTCATGCTAGGCTACTCCACATATTGCCAATTGGTTTTACGTTGGAATCTTAACATGGTATCAGAGTCAAAACCTAACATCTTTCTGGTTATTGTCTTGGGCCAAAAGTTGTCATTTCGTTGTGGGTCAAAAGTACCATTTGCCTGGTCCGACAGGCTTCGTTGGAGGGGGCGTGTTGAAAGTCCCATATTGCCTATCTCATGTCATTTGGTATGGTTTAAATACATGTTAGGTTACTCCACATATTGCCAATTGGTTTTATGTTGGAACCTTAACATGTTATCAGAGCCAAAGCCTAACATCTTTTCGGTTATTGTCTTGGGCCAAAAGTTGCCCTTTTGTTGTGGGTCAAAAGTACCCTTTGCCTGATCCGGCAGACTTCGTTAGAAGGGGCATATTGGAAGTCCCACATCGCCTATCTCATGTCATTTTGTATGGTTTAAATACATGTTAGGCTACTTTACATATTGTCAATTGGTTTTATGTTGGAATCTTAACATGGTATCAGAGCCAAAGCCTAACATTTTTCCGGTTATTGTTTTGGGCCAAGAGTTGCCCTTTCGTTGTGGGTCAAAAGTACCCTTTACTTGATCCGAGAAGCTTCGTTGGAGGAGGCGTGTTGGAAGTCCCACATTGCCTATCTCATATCATTTGGTATGGTTTAAATAGATGTTACACTACTCCATATAAACTACAAAATTAAATTAAGGATGTTACACTTATCTGTTGTATTTAATAAATTTTGGACATGTTTCTTCTGTATAGTATATACGTTACTGCTGCATTATACTGGACATGGTTCTATGTGCTTTATGTTGCTGCTTTAATTAAGATGCTTCTGCACTGTTGCAGCTTGTTTAAGTAGTATAATCTATTTCCATCCTAAATCATACCAGTTATGAAATAAACTCCGTAGTTTGTTCCACTTTGATTGTGCTTCATAATTACTTCGGACTTATCCACTCTTTGTCGATAGAAACTCTGTTCCTCACAAATTTGATAGATCTGAAACTGTTAGATAATTAAAGGATTTGGATCTCTCATGTTTACTATAAACAGAAGCAGAAGTTTTGTTAAACAGATTTTTAATGATTTATTGTTTTTTACTTAACGTAAACTGTTAAAAAACTAACCAACCATATTTCCTTGGGTCGGGGGTTACTGACCAGCGAGGCCTTCGTGCAACTTGGTCGTGTAATGTGTTTCACATATTTCCTTTGCCCACGCTTCAGCCAGCAATGTGATTTTCCTCTTGAATCCACCAACTGAATCACCATCCTCTTAATGCCATCCATATTTCTAAAACCTGGCAGTATTTTCCACTAGTCTTACCTCAGTTCTTGATTGCTTTTTCTTTAGCGTTGACAAAGGAGATATTGTTTAAATCACTGATTATTTTGGTAATAATTTCTTTCCACAGCATATAGTGGTAACATCAAATGGATGTTTCTGAAACAAACTTACATGTATCGTGCAGGTTTTATGTTGCTGAAGTCCTTCTTGCTTTGGAGTACTTGCACATGCTTGGAGTTGTTTACCGTGATTTGAAACCGGAAAACATTCTTGTTCGGGAAGATGGCCACATTATGCTCACAGATTTTGATCTGTCCCTGAGGTGTGCTGTTAACCCAACACTGTTGAAATCCTCTTCTGATGTGGACCCTGCAAAAATTTCTGGTTTAAGTGTGCAATCAAGTTGCATTGAACCATTCTGCATTGAGCCATCTTGTCAAGTTCCATGCTTCAGCCCAAGATTCCTACCTGCCGCTGCGAAAACAAGGAAATTGAAGGTTGATCCTTCTGCCCATGTCAGATCATTGCCACAGCTGGTGGCCGAGCCCACTGATGCAAGATCAAATTCATTTGTTGGTACACATGAATACTTGGCTCCCGAGATCATCAAAGAAGAGGGACATGGAGCTGCAGTTGACTGGTGGACATTTGGTGTTTTTCTCTATGAACTTTTGTATGGTAGAACTCCCTTTAAAGGTTCTAACAATGAAGAAACATTGGCCAACGTAGTGTTGCAGAGTCTTAGATTCCCTGACCACCCATTTGTTAGTTTCCAAGCAAAGGATCTGATTAGAGGGTTGTTGGTTAAGGACCCTGAAAACCGTTTGGGTTCAGAGAAAGGGGCAGCTGAGATTAAACAGCATCCCTTCTTTGAGGGCCTTAACTGGGCCTTAATTCGTTGCGCTGTCCCTCCGGAACTTCCAGACTATTATGATTTTGGAGTTTCAGACATGATGAACTCACAGGTCAAGGGTGCTAAGTACTTAGAGTGTAAAGTAGGAGAGCGTGTAGAATTCGAGTTGTTTTAAAGACATTGCTTTCTATCAAGAATGACATTCATGCTATGGATTCTCATACTTATGGCTCCCTGTCAGTGTCGAGATGTAATTTATATGTAAGCCTTAAGCTTAATAGCCTAAGTTGCAAATGAGTTTTGTATCATGGTATCTTGCATTAGGAAGTTAGTAACCAGGAGGACGTTCTTGTCATGTGGCACCTCGACAGTTCATACTCAACTCATTCCCGAAGAAAAAATAATGCATCTATAATTTAGCGGTGAATGGTCGTGAAAACAAGCCAAGTAACATTTGATTTTGCTACTGTAGGACAAGGACCGTTGTGCACTCCACAGAAAACACCAAGAAATCTAAGGAGACTCCTTTCTACATGTTCATCGCATAACGTTTAATATACAATAAAAGAATAGTTTATAATTGGTTCCATATCCTTTAAACTTAGTTTTATATTGGGTCAACAAAACATAAACTTGTATTAGTTCTTCAAGGAAAATGAAAAAAATTACTATTACGCAACAATAGTAAATCTCCTCAGCTTCTTCTTTGAAATTTCCTCCAAGCATTCATACGCGTTTTTCTCTGGTTCATTCTCATCCTTATATTTTTTGAAAATCGAACAAAATTTATTCCAACTATTATTGTTGGATCTCTAGGCTTATTATCTAGTCTTATAGATTTCATACTCAAATGTTTAATTTTCACTGTGATAGTAACATGAATTAGGTATGAGTGTATATAAACGAAGAACAAATCATACAAAATCAGTTGTAAAAAATAAAAATTATTTTTAGTTTTATCTAACCAGAGATATATATTTTTATTTCTATTCATTAAAGCATTTTTTTATTATATTTTTCTTGTCTTTTATTATTTCCATTCTCCTTCAAATTGTCTGAATAACAATGAAAATGCTGTTTGTTGATTCATTTTTCCACGCAAATCTTTTTCCCATTGAAGTTAAGCGGTGAACACCATGAAGTAGAGATATTGTTACATACAATTTAAACTTTACGTGTACCATTTTAGTTTCTTCACTTCACTCTCCATGGAGGTCTCAGACGACGACGACAAGCACGTTTTCCTTCTTTGCACTAACACTGATCCAATCCAAACAACCGAAAACCTAAACGTTGAGATCATTGTGTCCACCGCCGATATTCTCGATTGGGATATCTCAACGATTCTCAGTTTTCCAACGATTAAAGTTCAGGCACATCGCAATAGGTTCGTCATTTCCCTCCCTATACTTTCTCATGGAACTCAATTTCACTTAACTTATGCCTCCAGTGTCAATTAATTTGCAATTTTTTTCATTCTGTGTGCGACGATTAGCAGGCTCATTGAACAATCTACGTATTTCCGCGGCCTCCTCAGCGGGAGCTTCAGGTACAAAAAACGTTAACCTTACACTGCTTTTCTATTTTCCTCGTCATCGTGTTTAATGTAAATTAATCTCGAGAACCTGCATGCATACCCCGTGCTTTTTGTACTCCTGCAGTGAGTCATGCTTGGGCTCTATCGCTATCAATTGGAATGCGAGCGAGTTTTTGGAAATTCTTAAGCATATTTGTGACTGCATTTTGGATATTACGTTGGATAATTTCTTCGCTCTTTATGAGGTATGCTGTTGGTACGAGTGGAGCTGTTGGTCAAGCAGTATCTGATTGTAGTGTTCGGACTCCTTATTTTATTTGAGAACATGGCGGTTTGTAACTAATGTATTTGTCATTTGACAGTCTATTCGCTGATGCAGTTTGTGTTTTTGTTGTATGTCTTAGGGTGCGCTTTATTTTGGAGTGGAGACACTTCTCTTGAAGTGTGAGACGTGGCTTTCTGAGGTGCTCTCACCCGAAGGATTTCAATCTACTCAAATAAAAATGGAGGACTTGATCCAAATTTGGAAATTTGGCTCAGATCGTGGTAAAATGTAGTTGTTTTTATTGGCGATGATTAACTTACGCGTCTGTCATTTTATTTTTCTTTCACTCTTTCTATAACATCACATGTTTCATTCTCACAGTTCTTTTATGGATTTGCTTTTGCAGCAAGCGACTGTATCCTGCACTTATGTACGGGCTACCTAGCAAGAAATTTTGTATGTACTCAACTCTTTCGCTAGAGCTTGTGCAATAAAACAGTGATCTCAAGCTTTGAAATGTTTTGTTCAATTGCTAATAATGCGTTGTCATGTCTCTGTCTTCCTATAAAATAAATCTCGTGAGGTGTATTTACATATCTATTGATTGGACTCTTGTTATTGCTGAAATATTTATTCAATTCTTCATACCTTTTTTCATTGGTATATTCCTTTGGTGACAATTTCTTTAGAGTTGACTTTTCAGGGTATGTGGATTCCAAAAACAAAATATTCTTGAGAATTAAAGTGACATCTATACCTTTACATAATTCCTTGTCTTTTGTCTTGTGTGTTTTGTTTACGCTGTATCCTTATGATATGGTGCCATCAAGTGTCATTTTCTTATATTTTACTGTTTAGACTTGAGAGTGATATCTTGTATTTGTGTGGTTATTAAAAACGGACTTGAATTGCTAAAGATTTGATCATTGATACTATTGTCGTTAGGATAAAAGATAAATATGGATATGAAAGACAAGAACCCACCTACCTCTTTATATTTCAAGTGATCTGGTTTAGATAGATTTCTTTGGCTAGTTTGTTTGCTAGATACAATTTAAAGTTCATGTAGTCTGCTGTTAATTTGCATCCTTATCAATTTTTATTATGTTTAAATTTGGTAACTTTTTAATTTTAGGTGTTTATTTGTGTATCGTAAACTTTTGGGTCTTGCTAACTAGTGTCCGATATTGGTTTTGGCGAGGCTGTCAAAAAAACTCTTAAATGCGAGACTACCAAAACTAAGTTTCCATTTTGGGTCTTGCTAACTAGTTGACATTTTTATGCATGTGCTCTTAATGTTTTTGGAAATTCCAATTTTCAGATATCAGTTGGGTTTCTTTTCTTTAGGTATGGACCAATACTGTAGATGCTCTGCTATGGTTTAAAAGTGGTATCGGAAAACTATATATATATATATATATATATATATATATATATATATATATATATATATATATATATATATATATATATATAGAGAGAGAGAGAGAGAGAGAGAGGATCCACTTGCTCTCCAAGAGTAAGAGCGATAGAGACTAACTCTTCATCCCCATCATTCATTTTTTGGGTAATCTAATGGTTAAGATGAGTTAATATTTTAGACCATTAGATTATCAAAAGATGAATAATGAGAATGAAGAGTAAGTCTGGGACATTTACTTTTGAAATAAGTGGGTTCCTTCTCATATATACATATATATATATATATTATTTTGGTCTTTATCTTTCAAATTTTTGTTCATTTTTTAAATATTAGACATTTTTTATTTATATTTTCTTGTTGAACAGATGTGGGCAAAGCATAGCAAATCTTTTGGAAAACTTCCATATGACCTGCTGTTATCTTCGGTAAAGCACCCTCATTTGACTGTTGACAGGTTGACTGATTATATATGAAATGGCTTCATTCAATACTTCATAAATTTTAGATTCTAATGCTATAGTATCTTGACAGTGAGCTGCATCTTTCTGATGCACTTCTTCTCTGGCTTGAAAGTAACGTGGAAATTTTGGAAAGGCCTAGGAAAGCTGAAGACAACTGCAATGGAATTTTGAAACAAGTGAGGTTATATATAGCTCATTCTTAATGTAAAATAGTAGTAGATGGTCAAGTCCCTCAGGATCTTTAAGAAAAAAGGAAAACTAATCCAATCATTACACCTTTAATAAAACTTACATTCATCTCTCTTTTATTTTACGAACCTACAACAAGCAAAGCCAATTAGTGAGTGATAACAGAACAGCCATATTTTACTATGAAAGAACCATACTCTGAAAAATATGATTATTACACAATTGTTCCATTCAACTTTCAAATATATATAGGCTTTGAGCAAATTACACTAGCAGTCCCTGAAGTTTCTTGAGATTGCACATAACTCCTTACTTTTTAATGCTTATTTTAACCTTCCTTATATAGGTATACAGTATAATGTTTCTTTTAATAATGAAGGGATATTAGTGTAATGTTTTTCAAATAATTGAAGGGAATCGGTGTAGGGAGAAAAAAAAGGAGGGATTAGGAGAAAGTTGACAAAATTTCAATAGGTGTTGCTGTAATTTACTCAGACTTTTAGAAGGTGGTTTGCACGTTACTGTAATGTAATTTAAAACAGGGAAGATCAGTGTAATTTAATCTCATAAAAAACCATTTGCGTAACAAATGTTCAAGACTATGCTCGTGTATAAATTATTTACTTATGCATATGGATAATAAAAAGCATTTGCAGAAACTGAGGGGTTTCAAATGTTGCAATGGGCTCCTTCCACTGCTTCTCACCTTCAATGCACACTCTAAAATTTGCTTCTTCCACTACCTCTCACCTCTAATGATTATGTTTACACTAAAATGATGCTCTAATGTCTCCACACTCCTCTTTTAATATCACTCGCCTATAGATAGTTATCCCACAATATATATATATATATATATATATATATATATATATATATATATATATATATATATATATGTGTGTGTGTGTGTGTGTGTGTGTGTGTGTGCTGATTTTTCAATAATATGCTTATTAAATATTCATACATTGCTCTACATGTAATTATATTCTCATTAGTATGTTGTAAATGTAAGTAATATCATTTAATTCATTTTGAGAAATAATTATGAATCAATCAAGGTCTTCAATTTTGTTTGACACTTTTGCACGTGAATTCTGGATGATAAGTTTGACATATGCTTCCATGCATCTATGCTTAAATGTCATATAACTTTTACTCTTGGTTCCAACAGATTCGTGTGGGGCTTTTGCCTTTGTGGTTTGCTCTAGGTATACCATTTTCTTGAGCTTTTGCATGAAGCACTAAACAGTATTTATTCTTCTTCCTGGATGTTGTAAGGTAATTTTTTATTTGTTTGACAGGAAATAGGAACTCTTTTTATTTTAAACAACTGGCTGAGGAAAGCCTGGATTCAATTCTCAGACTACTAAATATTGGTCCTATGGGTTCACTAGATACTTTCGAGTATAGTGACTTACACCATCTGAGGATTAGGTTGACAGAATATTCAAAGGTACTTCTAATTCTTGAATGCCACTCAATAATTTTGGCTTTGTTAATTATTTTTCTTAGTTCAAAATCAGGAGCCTTTAACGCTTTGCATTTATGGTACCAGAAAAAAGAGAAAAGTAAAAAGGATGGCCTACTAACTTGTATTAATTTTGCTTTATTAATTATTGGCTAATAATAAGATCGCCTCTGATAATTTTTAAGTAGAATTAGAAACTGAACAGGCAATTTCCCTCCATAGCCCATGTCAACTTGAGAGTAAGGAAGGGATATTTGTCAAATATTATACAAACCAAGGAAGCATCAACACTCAAAATGGGAGCGTGTTGGATTCTGGCACTTCATTGACAGTGACACACTTTTGACATGTGTTGGACACATGGACACACATTCACCATGTCTAAATAAAAAACTCTTACTGTTTTCAGCTCCAACACAGCCAAGATATCAAGCCCATATTTATTCTTGGTTAGAGACACCTCTTTGACACTCCTACTATAAAAAAAATAAATTAAAAAGTTCATTTATATTTATACTATAAATTATAAAAGTTTATTTAAAAATTAAAATGAGTTATATTAATAGAATTAACATTAGAGTACAAATTTTAAATATTGTTGCTAATTTGTCACTTGATTAACCTGAATTAGAGACTTCGTTTTTCAATGATTATGAAGGAGGTCACTAACTCTATGCTAGATCTTCTACTTTGAAACAACTAGCAAAAATATGCCTCATATCATAGTATTTTTAAGTAAGACTCATTATTATAGGACCTAATTAGTTGTTTTAAGAGAGATGTCTCATCTAATCTTGTGATTCTTTTTAAAGATTGCATTGTCAGTTGACTGATCGCTCCCTCTTATCGTAGTATTCTTTTTGTGAAGATTATTATCATATGAAAATTATGAATCTGAACAACTTTATTTTTATAAAGTGAATATATAATTTTTAATTCAATTTATAAGCTAATTTTAGCTTATGGATAGGTCAATTTCAGTTTTTTCTTCTTGCAGAGACAGTAGTCCAAAAAGACCTTTAATATCTTAGCCAACTTGTCTTTTAGTTATCTGCAAGGAGTCTGTAATATTATATTATGCTTTTGTAACATAATTTCCATTGCATGCAGAAAGTGAACCTTTCTGGTTGCCCGCAAATAACATCTACAATACTTCATCTGTCACTTATCCCTCAATCATATTTAACAGACCCCATGCAAAAGAAGATTATTAAACAGTTATTTATTAATCGTGGACATCCTATAAGAGATAAATACGTGTTCCCACAAACTCTTTCAACCTTTTCCTTTGAAGCAGTTCAGGAGGTGGATATCTCCAAGTGTCGAAATTTGCTCATTGAACATGCTGTTGATTGCTTCCGCAAGTCTTTTCCTTCTTTAAGAATATTGAAAGCAGCTTATCTTTTGAACATTGGGACAATTTATTTCCTTCAATTATTGGAGAAATTTTCAATGGTTTGTGAAATTGACTTGACTGTTGATATTACCCCACTGATACCAGCATCAGTTACAATTTTATCCTCTAGTCCTGCTGAGATACAACCGGTGCCAGAGAAGACCTCTACTTGTAAATATAAAGCAATGCACATCATGTCATTTAACGAATTTGGACCTCCTCTTTCAATTGTTACAAAACTCACATTGGAAGGAAGAACTGATGTTAATGGTAGGAGGTTTTTCTGGTGAAAAGATTAATGTTGAATCTTTTTTTTCTTTTTCTAGTTTATGTTTTTCTCCATGTTAACATCCAATAATTCTTTTCCGTGCCAGATTTGGGTCTCCACTACATCTCCAAATTATGTGTTTCATTGCGTCACCTGAATATTAAAGGATGCATTTCTGTCACCGATATTGGTATATCAGATCTTATATCCACGAGTGAAAAACTTAATTCAATTGTGGTTTGTGAAACTTCATTTGGGATAAATTCAGTTCAAGCCCTTTGCTCAGCTATTTCTGATAGTGGCACCTTCTCCTCTCTACATTCTAGAGATAAGCATTTGAATTCTGTGATGTCTAATTTTGAAACATTGCATATGGGTGGCTGCCGGGGTAAGTTGTATTCCTTTCTCTTTATTTAACTTAACTGCCAGAATGAATCTGTAAATACTTGTCTTATATAAAATTTCAGCAAATACCTTTTACTACATACTGGCTGCATATGTTTTTCACATTCAGAAGAAACTAGGGCATTGTATAATGAACCTTCGCACTTGGTAAAGTTTTATGTGAATAAAATGATGGAATGACAAATGAAAATGGTTTAACATACCCTTTTTGTGTGGTATGGGGAAAAGCCCAGATTTCCCTTGATGTATTTGCTTTTGATACAGGCATATATTAGTTAAGTTACAAAGATGCTACTATTGGTTTGGTTATAATCTCTTCACATGCTAGGTGTTCAGCCCACCAATTTTTTTCTTTATTTCCAAGCTTTTGTCTACTTTTGAGGTGAAAGAAGTCCCTTTAGTGAACCTCATGAATCAGTTATTGTTTAAATCAAATGTAATAAAAGACCAAATCATGCTTTATAATTGAAAACAGCTTGTACAGAACCAAGTACTGTTGATTTGAGAGGAATGTTTTACATTTTGATAAATTTCAGTTGTACATTGAAAAAAAAGATAAATCGTTGTTTTGTAGGTGTTTCTGAGTCATCTCTGATAGAGCTTATGTCTCAAACGCAAGTTTTGAAGAATTTATGCCTGAGAGGAACTGACCTGATTGACCAGGCGCTGTATAATTTTGTAGGTTCTTCTTTGGAGATGCTTGACATTTCAAATACTAAGGTTTGTTGTCAAGTTTGTGGGAACTTGCATGTTTTGTCTTTATCTTTGTAGTGGCAATATAATTTGTTGATGTCCTTTTATTTTACTGAAGTTTTAACGCTAGTTGAAGTTTAAGGATGTGTGGTTGGAAAGCATGCTTCATTCTAATGTACAACAGCTGGTTTATTTTGGCCTATAGATGGTAGTTAAGACTTACGGGGCTAGTTCCCACTTAAAATAACTAAGCATGATGTATAATGTCTCCTTCATCAAGTTACATCCTTCTCATGTTGAATTCTAACTGTTGTTTTGGATGCCTTTACTACATACACATAATAAACCTTTATGCTTGCTTGGTTCAATTGTATAAGTTTTGTAGTACATTCTTCAATTTCGTTGCCTTCAGTTCAATTCTCCTTGTGTTTAAATATTGTGTGCTTAACTGATATATTTTATGCATATAATTGTACAATAATCTACCAGTATATCATGCAACATTCCCCAATAAAATTTAATTGATATATGCAGGGACATTTTGGGTTACTACACAATGGAGTACAAATATCTAGTATTTTGCATCCATACCATCATCAATTTATGATAATTGTTTTTTACTTTGATTTTTCAATTTTATTTTTTTCATTTTGTGTAATTGCAGATTTCTGGGGCTGCATTAGCTTATGTTATTCAAGGAAATCCAAGTTTAAAGTGTCTGAAAGCAAGAGACTGTCGAAACTTGTTTCCAGGAGACAATTGTGCTGAGAAGAGAGAATCTTGTTTTCCCTCTTGGCATGAACAACTACATGCTGGGTTAGGAAAAATGTGTAGATTGGAAGAGATTGAGTTTGGGTGGGGCTTTTCTTCCTTCTCTCTGAGTTCTCTGGAATCTGCACTGATGTCATTAAAGACCATCAATTTGGGTTTAGGTGGAGTGCTAGGTGAAGATTCTTTGAAACGGTTACCTGCTATCTGTCCCTTGCTAGAAACAATAATCCTTCATTTTCAGGTGATAATTATCTTCGATGTGATTTGAGGTTCTTTATTGCTCCCTAAAGAATATTGAAAAATTATTTCAACTGATCATAGTATCAAAAAGCAATAGATAGACTTTTCCTTTAATTAATTTTGTGGTAAAACTTTTCCATTTGGCATCTACAGTCCATGAAGTTCCTTGATTCTTGCCTCCTTCAAGTATTCCACCAGATGAGTCAAGGATTACTAGTTTCATCAGTTATATTATATCTAATATGTTGTCTTTCTGATTCTTCTTGTATCAATGTGTTGGAGATGCATGTTTTTCTTACATAAACTATTATACTTTACTCTATGTATAGTTGTGCTTTCAGTTCTCAGATGTTCACATTTCTAAAATTTTGTTTGCTTTTTTTTTTTTTTTTTTTTTCAGGTAATATCTGATATAATTGTAATGAACTTTGTTACATCCTTGGAAAACTTGCAAGTATTAGCTCTGCGCTATTGTTTTGGTGATATATCCATGTCAAGCTTCAAATTCCCGATGCAAAATCTAAGAAAGTTGAGGCTTGAAAGAGTAACCCCATGGATGACAAATGGTGATTTGGTTGCTCTAACTCAAAACTGCAGAAATTTGGTTGAGCTTTCATTGCTAGGATGTTCTCTTCTTGACCCAGGTTAGGATTAGTTAGCATAATGATTATTAAGGGCATCTGACTAATTCATAAGACATGATCTTGTATCATTATCGTGTGCCTCTAATGTGATCAAGTTGAACTCCTCTGGATAATATTCCAAACAGGAACAACCACTGTTTGCCATTTTGATGATTGTTCTGTTGTCGATTGCTACTTAGAATTTTTTGGTGGCTGGTAACAAATCGGAACAAATTATAAGAAAAATTAAAGGAGGCTGGGGATAATAACAATTTGGTGAATTTGTATTGTACAATTATAATTATAACAGAATGGTTGACCACTGCTAATTTAATCAACCCGTAATCACTTATATGTTTGTCAATGACTCAGTGCCATTTCTCATTGCAGACACTCTAACAATTATTTCACGTGGATGGCCAGGCTTGGTCTCTATCCATTTAGAGGTTTGTTTTCCCCCTTAAGAAAGAATTATGTCTAACATGGTTTTAACATGTTTATATGCAGAGCTGCTGTTTTTTTTTTTTTTTTTTTTTTTTTTTTTTTTTTTAAATGTAATATGAATATGTTGGCTTAGTGAGTTTCCTAGAATCCAAGCTATATATGTGGCTTCCAGCTGTCGTCTCCTGGCCTTGAGAAATTCTGTGAGAATGAATAGTTTTTTTCTGCTGGGGGAAGTGGAAGAAGAAATTGATCTCACTATTGGGAGCTCAGAAATGTTCTGCTGCATTTGATGTGGAGACTGAGTACTAATCCCTCTAATGTGATTATGGCAATCATTACATTTTAATTTGTTTTTATACATCAAATACTTGTTGCCAAGAGAATGCGTATGATCATAATCCCTACATTGTTCATGAGTGTGAGGAAGAGAGAAATGGAAAGAGAGTCCTTACATTTTGTTTTGCATTTAACATGGAGGTAGGAAAGAATAACAATAATAGTACAACTGTAGTGCAGCTATGTACAGAATAATAATAAAGATAACTAATGCTAATAACTTAACATTAAGATTCTTTGGTTCTAAAGCTTTTTCATACTACCTTCTAGGTTTCGTAAGTAAATTTTAATTGCAAGTATGCATAATTTTTAGGACTGTGGAGAAGTAACAGCTAATGGGGCTTCTGCTCTTCTTGATTGCAAAGCTCTTGAAGATATCCTGCTGCGTCATAATGTGAGATTTCTTTACATTTAATTTATTTATTTTTACTAAAATGAAATGGAGCATTTTAGAATCCAAGGACAATACATGGTTTGAGCCCTGTTGTCAATTTATTGATTGATGTACACATTATTCTCCCAGAAATATTCTTTATTTATTTCTATTTTGAAGGCCTAAACTTTCCAATTGATGATCATGTGAAACTCGATTCTTTCTGATGATCAAACAAGGACTGTACATATAAGATTATAAGTACAATTGAAAACACAGATGCCATTCTTTCTGCTCTTCGAGACACCTTTTTGTTACGCATCTGAAGTATGCAATATACGTTTACATCTTTGACTTTTAAGATACTAATAAACTATGTTTAAGATCTTAATTTTCAGCTCTGTTTTTCCCAGCTTTCTGAAAAGGAGAAGCTGACATTTGCTTTATGAATCCCTCTGGAATTCATATATTGAAAGTTGACACTGTCATTTACCATGCAGGGTCCTGGGCTTCACAGAAACTTCATTTGTTATGCTGCTTCAGAGGTTGCACTTTGCTGATGTGTTTATTTATTATTTTTAATTTGTAAATGTATGGAACCTGATATTGGATGTTGTATATTCTGTCGTAACTAACAGATGCCATTGCTTCGAAAGTTGTCACTGGATATATGCGATGCAAGGGAACGTGATTTTGACATTCCAAATGTAAGTCATTGCAGCACCATTCCTATTCTATAATTAGTTATTTTTCCAGTTCTTGAGTATCCCAAACTATGGAGAATTATTGTAGATGTGCAAGTCTAGTGGCTACAATTCATCTTCTCATTTCTCATCCAGCATACTTACATTTTTGTGATGCAATTTATATTGCGTGGTAAATTTGAGCCCTTCATTTTAAGGATCAACATCTTTAAAAAAGCACCATGGGATGAAGAATATGTTTTAACCAAGGGACATTCTGATGTTTTTTTTATGTGCTGCAGTATGCAGACAGATACTGTTTGAGTACCTTAAAAATAGCTAGATGCAAATCTCAAAGATGTGTATTTAATCTCCCAGCTCCTGCCTCAGGGGCTGGTAGTAGATCCGTGCATATGGAGACGCTGGTGCTCGTGTGGAACAGCAGAGATCTCATTAAAACAGTGGTGAAGGAAAGACTACAGTAAAACATCTGAGCATTACTTGCATACTTTGGTGGGCGTCTCATCATCCTTCTCTCGAACATGATGGGTTAGTTTGGTGGGAGGAAGTAAAGTGCTTAGGATTAAGATGGTCATTTGTTTGTTCATCAGTATAACAATAGGCAAAACGATGGTTATGTTGATTGAGACATAACTGTCCTTATTTATGTTGCTCGCGTTTGTTTTAATTTTTTAATACATTTTCACTGAATTTTGGTTATCTGTTTTACTGTTTTGAACATACGCAGAGTTGAATCTTTATAGGATTGCGCCTGATATAATTTAATTTGACAATTTCCATGTTGAATCGAACTTCTATTTTCACGTGCAACATGTTCGATTGGACACCTGAGTTTCTTCTTCATGTACCTGATTGAAATTGGAATGCCTAGCACAAGAATATTAATTTTACATAACCTTTATAGGAATCGGCGTTAACAATGAGTAAAGCTCTAGTTGATCAATTAAAGCGGTGTTCTTTTGTTAATTTTCTATAATTGTTATTAAATTATTATTCTTCGAAATGTTCTTTTAAAAATACCTAAGACTAGTATTCTCTTGGTTTTTAAAGTATCGTTACTAGATTAGTTCTTGAAAATGTCATTGTGCTTGATGTGGTGATATAGGCATTTAAGGAATTAATGCGGTGGCATTTTTGTCAGTCTAAAGGTCTTCGAGGATTTTATTTGATACTTATAATTTTTAGAAAATTATTGCATTGACTCAAACTCTAAAAATATCTTTATTTATATGTTGGCTGTGAAGCTTAAAATTATATTAGTTCTCTTTTTATTAATTATATTAATTATAGAAAAAATAATAACTTATTATAAATAATTTTAGATGGAGAGAGAAAATTAAAATGGTAAGAGTATTATTAAAAATAAATAATAAAATTTATTAAAAATAATAAAAGTTAATAATTTTGTTTATATGATTAAACCTTAAACTACATATATTAAAAAAGTGTAAGTATCTCCTGACTTCTAACTTCTGTTTTATTATTTAATCTCAGAATTGTCCTCACTTCAATGTGCGGTTATTTCAACAGTAATAAGTATTAAGAAAAGGTGAATATGCGGACAAGACTTGCATATTGCAAAACTTGCAATCTGAGAAGTGTGTACTTTGCATGGTCTATTCCAGCTTATAATCGTTTCATTTTTAGTAAGTCTATACCAAGTTTACATAGCCTATTTGACTTGGTAAAAAAAATAAAAATAAAAATCTAAGCATTTTGATTTATTTCAAAAATCTATGAATAATAATAAATTATTTATCTAAAATGGTATGTAAGCATCTCAAGTCACCAAACATTTTCTACGTCATTTTACTTCGTCTATAATTTTATAGTAAATCAAAGTATATATCACCCTTCAACAACTTTTGAACTATAAAAAAAAACACATGAATCTATTAAAATTTTTTAAATCTCACGAAGATCAGTAATTTTGTTAATAAAACTCATTCGACTCGTTGATTAAATGAATTGGAATAAAAAAATCTGGATTCAAAATTTTAAGATTCATGTAACGCGGTGAATTCTTTGATGTATAAGTGACATTTAAATTAGAGTGTCTTTGGAGGGCAAGAACCCAAACCCAACAAATAAAACCTAGCCCGGGGAATCGTGGGTGTATCCACAGATATACTCTAATTAGTTGACCAATTTGAGTGTTTCTCTTCCCAAAACACACATGCATATGTTTGATTCCTTGTTTTCATCTCTCAACTTCTCGAGTCTAACCTCGTAGAGGACATCTTTCTCGGAGAGATTCTCTTAGACAAGACAATTACAGCAACCCCGAGAGTTACGTGGAAAGTTTTATTATATCTGGAAGAAAACTAACACGATTACGTAACTCACATTAATAAATGTATTACACACTTGATGATGACAAACGTTATGCATTGTAAAATATTGAGGGCAATGGAATCTTTCATTGACGATAGACGATAATGATTGATATAAGTTCCAATCCACTTGCTCCAATGAACTGTGACATCTCTGCGTTTTAAATATTTGGTTCCAAGTGAAGGAAGGAAAAGAAAAATACTTGACATGCATGTGGTCCGCAGTATATGTTGTGTATATGCCATTTGTCTTGGAACAAAAAGACTTCTAAACAAAGGAATGTAACAACTAACATGGCATTAAATATTAATGTACGTCTCAAAAGTCTTGCATTTACATCATCGCTTAGCAAATCTAGGCACAGTACATTTTGTCAAGTATTTGAGATTTGAGGCACTGAATACTGAGATATTAATAGCTTCATTCATGTATTTTCTACTATCCCTTCCTACTACTTCACATTTTTATTCCATTATTTTGTTCGTTGACTTTACAAACTCATGTGCCTTTCCCCAATTTAAACTTTAAGTTGTCATTTTCAATAAACATCAGATTTTAAATATATGTACATATTTTCGTATCAATTATTAAGATAATTGATCAATATATTTTTTTAACTTTTATACACTTTTTTTTATTCATTATCATATCTGTACACATTTTTAATCAGATTTATATTTATATATTATTATTACTATTATTATAATTATTTTAGGGATACGTATGTTTTTAGTTTTGTATTTTATTTTTTAAACTTGTTTTATTTTTATATTTTTGAATTGGTTAATTTAATCTTCTAGTTCATGAAAAGGTTATTTTAGTTCTTCCTATACTAAAATTATTATTAGTAGTTTTTTTACCGTTACAAAGTTTATGGAGAAACTAAATTTATAAGATGTGATTTTAATTTTTTTATATTTAAATTTAATATTCATTAAGAGTTTTCAACTATTACGAAATTGATAAAATGATAATTTTTTTTAAGTTTGGGATTAATTAATCAAATTCTAAAAAATATATATTTAATTTTTTTATCATGTATATAGTTCACACTTTTCTCCCTTCTCTTTCAAATCTTTGTCTCTTTATTATTAAAATTGTTATTAAAATATGAAGTGGAAATAAAATTACTCTTCAAGAAACACTTTTGTAAAAATTGTTTTGGATAACAATATGATATCATTTATAACTTAATTAGCTTGGCTACTCTCTACTTAATGTTCCCTAATTCAAAACGAGTAGAACTTGACGCCATAACTCCTTGAAAAAAAAACTCCTTGGATTTTTATATTTAAAGCATATATTCCAAATAATAATAATAAATAATTCTAAGTAATATGTATAATTTTTATGTTTTTTTCTTATTTTAATATATTATTTCTATTTTGTTGATGAGTAAAAATGAGAAAGTTAAATAAAAAAGATTATAACTTAATTTGTTAAGGATTTGGATTGAAGTTGATTTGGTATTTTATTGTATGATTATGTAATACATCATTTACTGGAATATCCAAACGTATCACTAGAGTTATGATTAATTTAGTTTGGCTACGATTAAAATAGTTGAAGACTCAATCTTAGTAGAATTAAACTAGGTCAATCTTAATACAATTAAAGTAGGTGAAACATTGTGTCTCCGAAGTATCGCTGAAAAGGGTTTGAAAGAAGAGTCCCAAATCATAGACAAAGAGAACTTAAAAGAAAAAGAATAAAATTGCGGTCTTTAAGCAGATAAAGAATTACACACGAAGCTATCTATCCGCGTTGTGATTCGAATTCCAGCGTTTCGAAAACGTAAAAATAGGGCCATGTTCTTGCGAAAAGAGATAAACTAGAAAGAAAACGCGAAACATGCGTAAGAAATGATCCAGGAAATATGACAAACGCTAACTCTCGTTTTGCATTGTGGTGGGAGGAATCTGGGAAGAGATCTGTTTGGCATCTTCACAAACGTAATTAAATAGATTAATAGTTGGTAACGTATCTACTCTAACTAATAATTAATAGATAATGCTGAGGGAGTACAGGCTGTGGGGTGCGTGGGAGCAGGTGAATTCACGTCAAACTCTACACAAAACAAAAATTTATTTTCTTCCGAGACAGATCGATTAAGCCTTCATGTTAAGCAACGCTCACTCACTGCCACAGAAATCAATAGTTCTTATTTACTCAAACTCATGTCATTTTTTAAGTTTTATAACATGTGTTTTTACAATTTCTTGAAACTCCACGTCTTTTTTAAACTTGTGACCTCCATCCATTAATACTGTTGTTTAATGTTTATATTTTCCTTCACCTCCTTTTTACATGTAATTGCATCGACTTTTTAGATGTTCATTGGTGATTTATGTGAAAAGGAGACTTTAGAATAAAGGGATAATAAGTAGATGAGAATTGTTGACTAGGAGAAACACATGCTTATATTGATTTGTGGGAGTAAGTGCAATGGCTACTGGTCTTTTTAAGGACTCATCCACAGTCAATATATAACACCGTCATCTATAAAATAACATTTTTCTCCTATCCTTAACTTCCTAGGACGCTGATCAAACTCCAGAGTCAAATTGCTTATTCAGACTAATGAACAGGAATGTGATAAATGACGAGTTAATTAACCAGTAAACTCGTTTTAGAGTACACTTGGCGACAAACTCGGTAAACTCGTGGATTCTGAGTAAACTCGCGAATTAGACGTGAGTCAAATAACACTTAGATCTTTTTTTGTATTTCTCATTTTTCTTTTACAGGTTTAGAAATCACATTCCTCTTCTTTTCTCAGTAGTCGCATCACACTGCTTCCTTATTTTTTCCCTCTGCTCATCATCTATTCCCTCTTATTAAGCGATAGTTGCATTGCGCGTTTCCCCAGACGATTGCATGTCTCACCCCGATCGCTGCTCTTTGACCACCCTTCTCGCTAGCTCTCTGGTAGATTAGCCACCAATCACCCTTTTCGTATGTTAAATTGAGAGATTTGAAATTTTAGGGTTTTCAAATAGATTTAGGGATTTAGAAAAAAATATTATTTTTTTAATTCTGATTATTTTGCTTAATAAAATCAATTGATTTTTTTTGTTATTTTAAATATAAATATTAAAATTAAAAATATTTAAATGTATTATTGTACGAGCATATTTAATTCAAAGTGGAATTGATATTATCATTTTTTTTAATTAGTATTTTTCATATAAATAAATTCTTACGAGTCGAATTTACAAATTGAGTATACATACCTTCCACTAGTTTGGTAACTTGGTTCCTCCTAAATTGTTTTCTACACAAATCATAGTTATAGCATCTTTCTATAATATTTAGTCTTCAAGAAATCTGTAGCCAACTTTAACAGTTTTTAACCCTACGTTAAAAAACCGCGTAATTAATTATACATAGTTCAATGACACCGACACTGGTCCACCGAGAGTGCGAATTTAACTTGTGAGCATATGCTTCCATGGTCACGTAACTTTCTCACCACCCACCTTATATATACACAAACTTCCTCTCACAACTCAAACTTTCCACCACTTCCTTGTCCTTGCAAACTCGAGTCCCCTCAGCCGCTTCACAAAGAACCAACTGCATGTTATTATGTTTCATGAGATACACACATATGCTTAAATTTCTATACTGTTACTTTTCATAATAAGAATCAGTGTGTTAGATACTGTTTAAACAAATGGCATCGGCACTTGCCGGGGATGACTTGGCGGTATCAGTGAGCAGTCGCCGGAGCTGGACGACGGGGAGTTTCAGGGAGGCGTGGACGGCGGCGCCGGACGTGTTTAACGTGAGTGGTCGCCACACGCATGAAGACGACGAGGAAGAGCTCAAATGGGCCGCCATAGAACGCTTGCCAACTCTTGAACGCATGAGAAAAGGAGTGCTCAAGCACGTTCTCGACGACGGACACGTGGTGCTCGATGAAGTCGATGTTTCCAACCTTCGCTTACATGACAAGAAGGTGTTGATCGACAGCATACTCAAGATTGTTGAGGAAGATAATGAGAAATTCCTACGCAGACTGAGAGATAGAGTCGATAGGTACGTGATTAATGTTACTATTCTATTTACTTATCACCGTTTCTGTATGTCGTTCTCACTATTCTGACTTGGTTTGTGTTTGTTTTATTGTAGAGTGGGCATTGAAATTCCGAAGATTGAAGTTCGGTGCGAGAATTTATCTGTGGAGGGTGACGTGTATGTTGGGAGTAGAGCACTTCCTTCCCTGCTTAATGTTACTCTCAATGCTTTTGAGGTACTTGTTCTGTTTTTATTGAAGAATTTTGTTCTCAGATTTAAAACAAGCTGATTTATGCATTGGATTTCACTGTATATGTATGAATTTTAGTTAAATTTGAGAGTGCTATTGCTACTACTATGCTTTGTCTGATTATCTTGTTTATATACGGCAGAGTGTTCTGGGGATATTTCACCTAGCACCTTCCAAGAAGAGGGAAATTCAGATTCTTAAAGATGTTAGTGGAATCGTTAAACCGTCAAGGTAGTCCTATCAACAGTTTCACCAGAATAACAGCCAAAAATGTTTTCAGAAGTTCTTATAATTCTATGATTTTTTGTTGAATATATATACTGGATAATCTGTTATTGAGTCGTTCTTGATCAGATACCTACAGATGTCTAGTTTTGCAAATTTCACTCTCAAAGTATTCTATCTCCTGTCAAATAATGATATGACCAAAACGGTGCATATAACTAAGAGACAAACCTCATCCTTTGAACTAGTTTGGGGTAGATTTAGACTCAAAATCTAAATTTGGTTTCAAAGATGGATTGATCTTGATTGTGCTATATTTTGAATTGTTTTCTCTGGAAAGCCAAGTTCTACAGAGGGGAAAATTACTTTTATGAATTCTCATTCATTGAGGGAGGAATTTGACTCTCAGTTGCAAATATTAGACTTTTTATTATATTTGACTTATTTTATTTGGTGTGGTAAATCACAGGATGACTCTCCTTTTGGGTCCTCCAAGTTCTGGCAAAACAACATTGCTTTTGGCACTTGCAGGGAAACTTGATCGTGATTTGAGGGTTTGTTCTCATTTTTCTGTTTACTAATCAATCATATCTCCTCAGCATCCCAAGTGTATGTTTTTTTAATACAAAGTGAGCTTTATGTTGAGATACGCTCAGGTGTCTGGGAGAATCACTTACTGTGGGCATGAGCTAAATGAATTTGTTCCACAAAAAACCTGTGCCTATATTAGTCAACACGACATTCACTTTGGAGAAATGACCGTGAGGGAGACATTAGATTTTTCAGGACGTTGTCTAGGTGTTGGCACAAGGTATGACGCATTGGTGGAACTCTCAAGAAGGGAGAGAGAAGTAGGAATAAAGCCAGATCCTGAGATTGATGCATTCATGAAGGCTATAGCATTATCAGGTCAAAAAACCAATTTGGTAACAGATTATGTTCTCAAGGTTGGTGTCTGAGTGTCTCTACTTCAAATTATGAATATTACCCATATTTTTTATTTTATCCACTCGTATATAAGCTGTCATCTATTACATGCTGACAGATACTTGGGTTGGATATTTGTGCTGACATTATGGTTGGAGATGATATGAGAAGAGGCATCTCTGGTGGACAGAAGAAGCGAGTAACGACAGGTTAATTTTTTGTTTGGTAGATGTATAACCGACAAAGTTTTAATCTCATACATCGTATTATTAAACGTTAATTAATTCATGTTCTATGCTAGAGTTCGCATTTATAGAACTTTTCTTATTTTGTAGGACATTTCCTGCAAAATTTTTGTAAAACTTAACAAAATCATAGAAAAATTCGCAAGAAGCTTATTTCATGAAAATTTTCAAAATTTGCATGAAATATGAAAATTTTTCAAATATATATATTATCTTTCAAATAATAATAAAAAAGTACTAGTTAAAGGGCTGGTTACTTGTGGTACGTATTCTTATAACAACCTTGAGTCTTTTCAATTGATGGTTTCTAAATAAACATTTGTAGTTATCTATTAGATTATAAGATCTATTTTAATTGTAAATGGGTGTAGGGGAGATGCTGGTAGGACCAGCAAAGGCACTATTTATGGATGAAATATCAACAGGATTAGACAGTTCCACCACCTTTCAGATATGCAAGTTCTTGAGGCAAATGGTTCATATAATGGATGTAACCATGGTGATTTCTCTTCTACAACCAGCTCCAGAGACCTTTGAACTCTTTGATGACATTATCTTACTTTCAGAAGGTCAAATAGTGTACCAAGGTCCACGTGATAATGTGCTACAGTTCTTTGAACACACGGGTTTCAAGTGTCCGGAGAGAAAAGGAGTTGCTGATTTTTTACAAGAAGTAACATCCAAGAAAGATCAGCAACAATATTGGTCTAGAAAAGATGAGCCTTACAGATATATTTCAGTTCCTGAATTTGTGCAAGCTTTTGGTTCCTTTGACGTAGGAGAGCAACTTGCTACTGAGCTTGGGGTTCCCTACGACAAGAGCCGAACCCACCCTGCTGCCTTAGTGAAAGACAAGTATGGTATATCAAACTGGGAGCTATTCAAGGCATGTTTTTCAAGAGAATGGCTACTTATGAAGCGCAGTTCTTTTGTTTATATATTCAAGACATCACAAATAACAATCACTTCTGTTATTGCATTTACTGTGTTCCTTAAAACAGAAATGCCAGTGGGAACAGTTCAAGATGGACAAAAATTCTATGGAGCATTATTCTTTAGTCTGGTAAACGTAATGTTTAACGGGATGGCAGAACTATCTATGACTGTTTTTAGGCTTCCTGTATTTTACAAACAAAGGGATTTCAAATTCTACCCTGCATGGGCATTTGGTTTGCCCATTTGGCTTCTCAAGATTCCTCTGTCCATTTTGGAATCAGGGATATGGATTATCCTTACATATTACACAATTGGATTTGCTCCTTCTGCTAGCAGGTAACTAATATGAGTTTTCAATTTGGCATTGGAAAGCAACTTAAACCAACTTTCCAATGTTTCTTTCTTTCTTTTTTGGCTATAATAGTCCAACTTTTCTAGACTAGAATGACAACAATTTCTTAATTCACATTGTTTCATCAGATTTTTCCGACAATTCTTGGCATTGTTCGGCATTCATCAGATGGCACTCTCTCTATTTCGGTTTCTTGCCGCAGCTGGAAGAACACTAGTTGTTGCTAATACACTGGGTACCTTGGCCCTGCAATTGATATTTGTGCTAGGAGGATTTGTTATTGCCAAAGGTAAGTCGTCGACAGTTCTTAATTTTGGATAGATCTTCTAGTTTATGAAGCTTTAACAAGATCCTTGATGTCAAGCTTTTTGTATTTTTCTTTTTAAGTCCTATTCTGTAGTTCAAACAAGTGCAACATATTTTCTTTTTGGTTCTTGTAGATGACATTGAGCCATGGATGATATGGGGCTACTATTTATCTCCTATGATGTATGGTCAGAATGCAATAGTAATGAATGAATTCTTAGATAAAAGATGGAGTAATGTAAGAAATCAATTTTCTCATAGCTTGATTACATACTTGCACACGTCAAGATAAATTTGTTTCAGGCGTTAGTTACTTCTATTCTATGGAACTTCAAGCATTGTTAAACATCGTTTTCTTGTCATTTACAGCCAAATACAGACTCTAGAATTAATGAACCTACAGTTGGAAAAGCGCTTCTCAAATCTAGAGGCTTCTATACAGAAGAATATTGGTTTTGGATCTGCATTGGAGCCTTGTTTGGATTTTCTATTCTCTTCAACATCTTATTCGTTTTTGCTTTAACTTATTTGAATAGTAAGTTATATCCTTTTGATTTCCAAAGTCTTTAATTGAGTATACTTTGCACCTCTAACAAGTACTTGAATGTAAACCAAAATTTCAGCTTTTGGAGATTCAAAAGCAGTCATTGCGGATGAAGGTGAGGAAAAGAATAAAAGCTCATCCTCTAGACAGCATATCCTTGAAGGTTTCAAACCTTTCTACTTTTCCTTTATTTCTTGCTGATTCCAAGTGTATCTTTTGTTATTTATAAAAATGTAGGTTGTAAGCAGTTTTAATTTTGATTCAGAAAAAGGTTCACAGTAATTTATTTGCAATAGTTCTGTTAGTTTTCATTACGATTCTTTTCTTCATTTTGCTGTGACTGTGACATTTACTGAAAGTTGTAGTTACAAGTTCTCGTGCAATTCTTTCCCGCTGCTAATCCTAACCCTCTTTGAATTTAGCAGGTACAGACATGGCAGTGAAAAATTCTTCAGAAATTGCTACTTCTTCGAATCAAGAACCAAGAAGAGGAATGGTTCTACCTTTTCAGCCTCTCTCACTAGCATTCAATCGTATTAGCTACTACGTAGATATGCCTGCTGTAAGTCGCTGAATTCTGGAAAGTGCTCTGTGCTTTTGGTACATGCTATGATAACAAAAAATTCCTTCTTGCAGATGTCCATATCTTTTTGGTCTTGTAGCATCGCTCAATCACGTTACCACCACTATGAATTCATTAATTGCTTTGCTTTCTTGAATACAAGACAGAATAAATATAAAATCTCTTTTTCAAGTCTTAAGTCAATTGTTCTTATAAAATTTAATGCTTTCGTATGTTTATCAAAATTATTAGAAATAGTTTAATTTAATTCAAGACTGTTTATTTTTTTTCATAGTAAATCTCTTGTTTTGTTTTTATTCTTTCTATTACATCAGGAAATGAGGAGTCCAGGAGTCAATAAAGATCGACTTCAACTACTACAAGATGTTAGTGGTGCTTTTAGACCAGGTGTATTGACAGCACTAGTGGGTGTTAGTGGTGCTGGGAAGACAACCCTTATGGATGTATTAGCTGGAAGAAAAACAGGTGGATACATCGAAGGAAATATTAGCATATCAGGTTACCCAAAGAACCAAGCAACATTTGCTCGTGTCAGTGGTTATTGTGAACAGAATGATATTCATTCTCCACACGTTACTGTATATGAATCACTAGTATTTTCAGCATGGCTTCGCCTTCCTTCAGATGTAAATGCACAAACACGAAAGGTGTGTGGAGATAAACTAAGTTATATTTTCTCTGCCAATATGATTAAAGTAAATTTTAATGCTAATAATTTTAATTTTGATTTTGTTTAATTTTTGTTTGCTGACTCAGATGTTCGTTGAAGAAGTTATGGAATTGGTTGAGCTTAACCCAATCAGAGATGCACTCGTGGGTCTTCCAGGAGTGGATGGTCTATCAACAGAACAAAGGAAAAGGCTTACGATTGCTGTAGAATTGGTTGCCAACCCTTCAATTATCTTCATGGATGAACCAACATCTGGCCTTGATGCTAGAGCTGCTGCTATTGTTATGCGAACTGTGAGAAACACAGTGGACACTGGGAGAACCGTTGTCTGCACAATTCATCAACCAAGCATAGATATTTTTGAAGCTTTTGATGAGGTAAGTGACTCTATAGACTCTAGACTTTCTCTGTTATTTCTTTGGAAGATTATTGCATATAACTAACTTTTTTTTTTTTATACTGTAGCTTTTGTTGATGAAAAGAGGAGGACAGGTTATCTATGCTGGACCTCTTGGTCGCCACTCACATCAGCTGATAGAATATTTTGAAGTGAGTATTGAAGCATTTCTATGTTTATATTGTTTTTATGTTCAACTTCAGCTAGCTTCACACTTTGTGCACACTGGCTACTTCAGTTTTCAGCAGAAATTTTTTGGTATAATTATATTTATTGTGCATATATTTCAGGCTATCCCAGGGGTTCCAAAAATTAAGGATGGTTATAATCCTGCTACATGGATGCTTGATATCAGCTCTAACTTAAGTGAGGCTAATCTTGAGGTTGATTTTGCAGAGATTTATGCTAAGTCTACCCTTTACCGGTATGATTTTTCATGCTTTAGTTATGTTACTTTTTTTTAATGTTTATAAGATTATGCTACAATAATTCTGTCTTTGTAACTCTGTTTTCTCTGTACTTTCTTCAGGAGGAACCAAGAACTTATTGAGAAGCTCAGCACTCCAGCACCAGATTCCAAGGACTTGTACTTCCCAACCAAGTATTCCCAATCGTTTTTTGTCCAGTGCAAAGCTAACTTCTGGAAACAATATTGGTCCTACTGGAGATATCCTCAGTATAATGTTGTCCGCTTCCTCATGACAATAGTCGAGGGAATAATGTTTGGTGTGATATTCTGGAATAAAGCCCATAAAACGTTTGTTACCTAACTTTTCTATTAAGTCAAAGTCTTTCACATTAAAATTTACATTTCAAGTTACTACATTCTGATATTTGCTTAACAAAATTTGATGGCAGCCAAAAACAACAAGATTTAGGGAATCTTTTGGGAGCCATGTATGCGGCTGTATTTTTTCTTGGTGCCATGAATGCTACATCAGTGCAACCAGTTGTTGCCATTGAAAGAACTATCTTCTACCGTGAAAGAGCGGCAGGGAT